GGAGGGGGGAGAGGGATGGGGATGGGGAGGGAGGAAGATTCGGGTGTCGGTGAAGTGTTTTTGGGGGGTTGTTAGGACGAGTGTGCTGTTTGGGGGGTTAGTTTTGTTTTGAGGTGGTTTGGATTTGGAAATGGGAGTTGTGAGGATGTAGAGAGATGTAGTAACAACTGTAAAGGGAAGAGAAAGAGAAATAGAAATAGAAAGGACATACTCGGTATTCTCCCCTGGTAGTTTATCCTACATCCCAATACCATGTCGTTAGCTGTATATCCAAGTACCTAGCCATATCCAATCGCCTAGCTAGATTCCTTTCTTCTTCACGCTCCCTCAATCAATCCCATCTTCCAAGATCGCAAGGGGAAGAGGGGATATACTTACACCCCATTTGATCCATTTCCGTACTGAGATGTAGGGTTCGTCTTGGGACATTGTGTAACTTTTTGTTTGCATTTGTGAGGTAGAGAGACGGGGCTGTGCTTGGCGCATTTCGTGTATCTGATGAGAAGTTGTAAAGTTGTGTAGTTTTAATAGAGGATGGTGGTGTTAGAATTGATGATGTAGGGGGGAGGGGAGCTATGGTGGGGTACAGTATCGAGGGGTGAAGGTGGGGTAGCTTGGAGCTTCGATAGGTAGTACTATACTCTACTCAGGTACTCCTACCTAGAGAATTTCATCGATGAAATTTTTTCTCTCTATAGATTTATCAAATAGCCGTAAGCTTTTCGCGCAAAAGAAATACTCTATTCAAAAGGAATAATATATCTAAAGACTAAATGACACCATCTATACTCTACTCTATCTAAACCCTATTCAAGAAGATAAAGATAAAGATAAAAGATTTCCTATAATAGGTAGAACTTAATCAAAAGATACAAGGAAAATTTAACAAAGGATAAGAATAAGTAGTGTTTAAAGATTTAATAGAATTTGAAAACGAGAAATATCCTCTGTCTACTACTATTCTAGTATTCTCGGAGACTTAAACAATTCAGCTATAGCCTACACCCAGGAAACTTGTTCAATATCCTTAGATTCCTTACTCCAAGATCGATTCCTTTTGAGGGACACGCAGGGCAAGTAGGGAGGCATCTCCCCCCCCTCGCGCAAGAGCAAGTAGGACTCCTACCAGAAAGATGCCTTCCATTTCCTGTCAGATTCATATATGTATAATGAAATTCCGACTCCTACTTTCGAAACAGGAAATAGGAAATAGCATATGTGTTTGTTGTACACCACAGTTCAATAATATCAGGTAAGTACTGTACCTCTCACCTCGAAAGATTAACACTTCACTGAAACATATCAAAAAAACTCATTTTGGTATTGGGATTTGCATTTTTGATTTTGTCTTTTTCGATTCTCTCCACCGTTCAGCCCCCTCTACTATTCTTTCACATTAGCTTACAGTAGAATATACATCTTCATATACAGCGCTCCCTCATGCCAGAAAGGCATTCTTCGACTTTCCTCACAAGAAAGTAAGGCCAACCCCAAACTGCAATCCCTTCCTCGCCTCCTCACCACTCCTTACTACAAGCGGTAAAGCAAAGTTCAACTCGAACCTCGCAACAGGATGCGCGTAAACAAGACCCACACCTGCCGAAAGACTCGGTAATCCGTCGCCGAGTTTGGCAACGGTACTGTATACACTCTTTGAAGTATCATCGTCTTGGTTTTTCAACGCCAATAACCGCCCTGCATTTGCGAAAAGCTGGAAGCGGAGAGGACTATCTTTTCCTACGCGTGGAACGGGGAAAAGAAGGTTTGCGGATCCAGCTGCGTAGACATCACCTCCCACCGCATCTGCACCATCTCTTGGACCGAGACCTCCCATTTTGAAGCCTCGAACGTCGGTTGGTCCTCCGAGTTGGAAACGGTCGTTTGTTCTTGAGGGTTGGGACGTGGATCCAAACCCGACTGGGAGAGGGTAGAGAACACCTGCTCGGAAACCGGTTGCGAAGCTTACCCCGCTATTGCCTTTGATTCCTGGAATTGGGACGGGGCGAGATGCTGACGTCTCCATTTCTGATTTCCAGAAGGCTATGTCTCCGCGTAGAGGACCCCATCCTGCTATTTCAGACACGGTCTTCATGAGATATCCGTTTGTTGGGAGGAATGGGTGGTCTCGTCGGTCTGTGATCCAGGTATGTGATATACTGCTTTTGAAGCTATCTCCAGCATCATTCCGAATTGTAGGAGATGCTGTTGGTGCAAGTCCAGTAATTTGTCTCCATGCCCCAGTGTATCCTACCTGATGTCTTGTTCCATTTTCTGTGGTCCAGCTGTACTTCGCACCAGCACCTTTAACTGCTTCTTCATGATTTGCCCATGGCTTGAGTGTTGAGCTAGAAACTGCGTCTATAGAAAGTCGTTTGTCTGGGTCACTAAGAATTGGTATATCGAAAACTGCCTGGTATGCGGATCGAGTTCTCGTGCCTGCTGAAGCATTCAGATTGAGTGATTCTGCCCCACCAAAAATATTTCTCCATGTGAGATTTCCATATGCCGAGCCTTCAACGTTTCCGAGATCAGTCCCGGTTTTCAGGGCTATTCTGCCACGCTCGCGGGCTTGAAGGTATATATCGATGTCGGTAGGTGTGGAGGAAGGATCAGTTTGAGAGGGGCGGTCAATGAACATTGATATGCCATCTCGATAGATTTCTGGCAGCTGTTAGTGCCAGTAGATGATCCAATTGCTGGGTTCTTTCTTGTTTACCAAATTTCCGTAGCTTGTCTGCTGCCGAACCAACTTCTTGTAATGCTTCTGAAAGCGTATACACTTTTTGTCGATTGACGCTCAGGATTGGGTTGAATAATCGGTCTAGGAAAGATCTCCTCGTGTTTTCGGCACCAATAAGTCGTATCGAGGAGATGGTAACTGGAAGGGTTGAATTGCTTGCAACCTAAATCCTTTAGTTTCTATTTTGCGCATCATAAATCGAGGAGTTTCGCACCAATTCCCTTAGCCTCTCTTGTGCCTTTGCCCGCTGCGCAGCCTCTCGTTCCCTTAGAGCCTTCTCTTCTGCCTCTAGTTTCTTCGGGTCGCTTTTGCGGAGATTCTCAAAGAGCTAGAGAGAATTAGCAGGGACTCGGTTTAATGACGATTTATTCAAGGAGTTAGGGCGAAAGCTTAGGATATATTAAACTGCAGACTTACATCCTCTCCATTGGTACCCGGTGAAGCCATCTCTCTCTCTCTCTCTCGAACTCTTGTTGCCAACCAAATTATCTCAACTTCCACACTCCAAGGCTCTGAGCTGTTCAGCCTGCACACGTGATCAATATCCATCGCCCTGCCAAGACCTCGAGACCCTTGCGCGTTGCTTTCATATGAGCCACGACTCTGGACACTTCCCGCAGCTCTCCATACCTTTGACGCAATCGCTTTCAGTGGGCTCTGTCATTCTACCTTCTATCTTCTACCTAATTGGAGTCCTGTCACTCTCTTGCTTCCATTCTCCGACTGCAATTCGACTCCCCTATTCCGATATCTCTTTGTACACAACTTGGTTGTTCCAGCCTTGTCGGATACCGATCTATCTCATCTCCCAACATGGCGAGCAGGGCTGCCAACAAACGGGTATGTATTCTCAATACCCCAGATCAAACGCCAGAACCAAAGACTAACAAGACATAGCTTACCCGAGAGTATAAAACAATATCAGAACACCCTCCACCATTCATCAAAGCGCATCCCTCCGAATCCAACATCCTTGAGTATATTCCCTCAACCTCTCTCTTATTCCCGCACTAACCCCTCCTCAGATGGCATTATATCCTCACCGGCCCTCCTGATACCCCATACCATAATGGACAGTATTGGGGTACACTCGTCTTCCCACCCAACTACCCCTTTGCCCCGCCAGCGATTCGCATGTTCACTCCGTCTGGTCGATTCCAACCCTCGACCCGGCTATGTCTCTCCATCTCCGATTTCCACCCCAAATCTTTCAATCCAGCGTGGGAAGTTAGCACCATTTTAATCGGACTTCTATCATTCATGACCAGCGAGGAGATGACAACAGGATCAGTTGGAGGAACCGATGCCGAACGCAGATGGGCAGCTGGACGAACAAGATGGTGGAACAGCACTGGAGGTGGAACTTGGAAGCCCGATGGAGGACCAGTGCAGAAAGGAAACATCAAAGCAGGAGATGGCGGTCAAAAGTTTAGAGCAGAATGGCCAGATCTGGATGCGGAGAATTGGAAGTGGATGAAGGAGAATCGAATCGACCCAACGACCGGAAGTCCCGCCCCAGATCCAAATGCACCTGCATCATGTGGGCCCGTCACGGGATTGAGAAGACCAAGCGGAAGCCAGGCTGTTGTGGGTGCAGTTGTTGAAGGCGGTCGGGCTGTTGGCGAAGAAGGAAGAAGCTGGATTGGTCGACATAAGATGCTTATTGCTGGGAGTGTCATTTTCTTCTATGTCCTCATCGCTCGGTTACTTGGAGAGGGCGGTATCTGATTTGGAAAGACATTTGTACCAGTAATTTCTTCATTTGTCATTATAGTCCAGCGAGGCGTCACGGTCAAGGGGAGTGCAGACGGTTTTATAAGTACAAGGCAGTACGTAAAACTGCATAAAGGATAATGAGGGGTATTTGCCATCTCGTTCAGCGCTGTTTTTTTTTTAATTTCAATGAAAGTTGTTATTTTACTTGCTCTTACATTTGAAAACAAAGTTAAGGGATCGAGGTGTAGGTGAAATTCGCAAGTGCGAGTGTACACCATGAATGCGGTCAGGGATTGCCCGATTTCTTTACTGCCCTATATACATCGTTATATACCTGACGTCTTTCCTAGAATTTCAACGCCTCTCGCGCGAGAAATATACAAAATTTGCTTCCTCGCCAAAATTCAGTTGCTCACAAGGATTGAGGACTGAGAGAACTGGTCATTCAACGCTTTGCACCACTGTGTGACACGATTAATCTATTCCTCAGATTTTTTACAAAGATGGGATATATATCCCTGATTATAACTAGATGAAGGTATTCACACCTACACCTACCCATTTCTCATCTAGATAAATATTTAGATAGAGATGGAGATTGAGATACGCTTGGATATCATGGGGTAACAGTCTAGGTATTCGCTGTATATCTAGTTAACCAGGTTTATGAAGAGATAGGCTAGGTTCTGTGTGTATGCTTTGACATAAGTATACGAAGTGTACACTTTGGATATCTTATCACTGTATCAGTTTGGTTTCTATCGTGTGTTGGAACGAAGCTCAGGTTGTTGTATATGATACCACTTCGCATAGGCGAAATAGATGTGAGTTTTTCAAGGGGTTTTTACCCTGTTGCTCGCCTCAGCCATCCTGGCTAGAAAACTTATAATTTTTTCGCCTGGGATGCAGGAGATATGGGGGTATCTTCTCGCTGAAATTACGGTTTACGATGCATGATATAAGTGAAAAGTCTGTAATAGAAAAGTGAACACTGGAGTACTTAAGCTTCTACTCTACTTCAAGCATAGGAGAAAGCAGTCAGTCTTACCGCCTCTTCCACAGTACATCCAGATCTTCAGACAAAGAAAAAGGTTGGGATTTCCATCCTCATCCGATGATGTTGTCTCGACGATCCATCATCCATTCCGTTTTAGTAATTTCTGATATTTAAAACCATCAACAGTCAACGTGTTTAAAGAGCCCCTTGGTTTCCGTCCGGCCCGGTCTCTCACCGCAATCATGTGCCCTCTCACCGCCGCCCTGCCAATCCAACCCCCACCATTCTTTGGGGGTTTCTTGGTGGCAGGAACATCAGACGCGACCCGAGCCGGATGGACCCGCTATGGCAATCGTGATGTGCGCGATGGCTTCGGCTCTCTTTTTTGTTGAAGGCAGATGGCGGCATGGCGGGATGGCGGCTGGCTTTTTGGTTGTGTGGGGTGGAATCCCGAACACACCGCCGGGCGTCAGGAACGGATTTTTTTTGGTGGTGGTGTTGATGGGCGGTTGTTTCACGAGACGACGTTGATATCTCAATATTTGGGTTGGTTTTTGGGTGGTAGACGACGGGGTTTTGGTGTCTTGGATGATTGGTTGTTGGGGGTTTTTGTAGATGGTTACGTATGGCGGTTACTTCTTGTGCTGGTTTGACCTCTGTCCGCGGTTTCAGCTGAAAGTTGTTATCACGAGGGGAAGGTTGGATGGGCACGAGGTTGCGGGTGCCCTATTGGCTGATATTGGCTTGTCATGGACGTGTGGGAGTTATTTTTATGATGTGGTGTTCCTGCCTTCACATGCTTTGGAACTTTGGGGTTGAGATAGCAGATGGCAGACGCCATACGCCAGAAGAGGGAACGATTTTCCTGAAATAGCACGTGGGAACTCTATCGAAATGAGCTCTTCTATGCCTTGTTAGAACCTGCATCCAAGATGCAAGATACAGTTGTTGAACAATCAGTGCTTCGTCCTTCATAAATCGACACGGAGCGTTATCCGCCATATTAATGCCTTCGTCTGTATGAAGCGAACCCCACCAGGACAACACACACACACACACACACACACACACCTCTCAGGCCCAAGCCAGCAAAGCCCCCAAATAATCGTATCTCGTACTTCATCCCCTCGAATTGCCATGCAAAAATGCTGATGCGACTTTCGGTAAACCGGGCGACATCGGACGAAAGCTCCCAGTAAGCGAACGTCAACATTCAAGAAGATTAAGGCCGCATGCACCAATACTGCCTCCGCCTGCAGCAAGCATACGAAGTACAAAAGTAAATCATTGCTGCATCTCAACTCGTGGTGGCGGTCTACAAAACTTCATGAGCCTATTGCACTTGCAGGAACCGATCAGCGTACTGAGTCCTTGGCCCCCACATCACCTACCGATATTGCGCTTATCGATTTGCATATCCCAAGTTCCCCTTCATACTTCTACAGTACGCACACGGCTCCGTGGATTGTGCTGTGCTGTGCTTAGCTGTGCTGGAACGGTTATGAGTCTCAGACATCTTTCGTACCCAACTGCCGCTACTCGTATCAGATCAGCGGACGGGATATCAACAACTTCCACTCACACTCCCACTCCCTCCCACTCCCTCTCCCACTTCCCCAGCCTTACCAAATTTCCAGAACTTCCAACAACCCGTCTCGTCGTGCAATACTCCGTGCCCATCTCGTATCGGCTACCTCCGCCGCTCAATTCCCATTTGTCACTTCACTGTTGGAAAAAACGAGGAGGTGGGGTGAAAGCCCTGATCGACTCCGTATTTTTTTTTTCTGCTGGACCTAAGCGACAACAAACCTCCGAACAAAACCTTGCCCTCGGATTCGCCAGCGATCTGCCAAAGTCAACAAGGAAAAGTCGGTCACCAACTTGGAACGCGGTCACTGGTGATAGACGTGGAGACGCGGAACAGCTCAACGACAGCCGTCTTGGCGCAGAAAGTATTGCTCCGCCCAGATTTGGATCGGACAAGTGACAGCGGTCTTGAGGATCCAGAAGCTGCATAAACTGGATCCAGAAGCCAAAGAAATCAAAGAAGAGCAGGGGTCGTGAGTCTGCTATATTCTCGACGGTGCCCCCACTAACAGTCACCACATCCGCCAACAAACGATTTCGACAAATTTGCCCTCTGCTCGACGCCCACAAAACAGTCATTCTTCAAAAATCAAAAACAGCAAAGAACCCCAGGAAACATTAAAATTCCATCTTCTAAAGTGATTGGATCTATCTCGACGAATCGGAATTAAATATTCGATTTGAATTTGGGCGGATATCTCAAGGTTCCATTCCGAACTCGCATATATTCTTGTGAATAAGCCCCTCCAATATTACTGGTCCACGATGTTGTCTCCTACCAAGCGTTCAAGACGGTCACAACACCTCACCACCAGCTACCACAACCGTTCCTACTCCAGCATCACATCATCATCAGACGCCGGAACCTTTCATTCGGCACTTGCTCATCCTTCACATATGGAAATGAGGCCAATGTCACAAAAAAACCATAAAACCACACGAACAGTCAAACGTCCTACTTCTCCATTGATACCCATCCCCGCACCATCACCAAAACTTGAAGCTGTAAAGATGAACCGACAGGACTCTGGTTTCTCAACTGGCTCAAATAACTCCCCACGAAACTCAACATCATCACGTCGACCCTCGCCGTCAAAAAGAGAGAAAGAGGGAAGAGAGGAGAAAGAGGGGTCGAAAAGAAGAAGTACAAGCTACACCTCCTCTCGACCCTCTACAACCAAGAAAACTTCCAAATCATCATCCACCCCCGCCGCCCCAAGAACATCAACCTCCTCAAACCGTCGTCCAAATCTCCAATCTCGCCATACGACACAGTGCACTACCCAGCAAACATATCAATACTTCCACTTCCCCTCCCTCTCCGACCCAGAACCCTCGGATCCTAACAACCAAATCCAACTCTCATCACCATCAGCCCGGGAAGATAAGCACATCCCCGCTCCTCCGGCAACTATCCAGTACTGGACTTCAGACAACACTCGAAGACTAGAGTACGCCGCTATCGACGCAGCATCTCGAGGTGTGAGAGGCTTCTTCACCAAGCTTGTTCCGGATTGTATTCTTCCCCAGTCTTCAAGACGAACAAGGTTCTCGGATGGCGATGATGGGGACGATGTAGGGAGTGTGAGACGGTACCGCCTTCAGTTGCCGGATGAGAAGACTACCCACTCAAGGCCTTCGACGGGGGAGGGCTTGTGGAGACGATTCAGCTGGGGAAGAAGCCGAAGCCGCTAAGTGCAATTGTCCTTCTAGAAAGGAAGAATCATGAATTATGGGGATATGAAGTTGCGAGAGTTTCTTGTTTTGGTTTTTATTTGGTTTTTTAATTCTTTCCTTTTCTTTTCCTCGGTTTTTGGTTTGGCGGCATGCATCTTGCGCGATACGATACCCGACCTTTATCTGATCTTTGAGCGTCTGTGTTTGTCGGTTTCGGGCGCCAGCGAGCGAGCGAGGTAGCGATGATGTTTACGGCTGCATTTTGTTTGAAGATAAAGATGAAGATGGGGTTAAGGATGAAAGACAAGATTGCATTTACAACGACAGAAAGAGATGGTCGTTATATATACGGGATGGTTATGGGTACACTAGGCTTAGTGTTTTTCTTTTCCCCATAATCAGTTTGGAGGCACTTGCGAGGCTCAGTGCCAGGACATCTCTTTAACACAGAGAAGAGAAGAAATGTCGAGAGAATCAGACTCGAAAGACTATATGGTGGAACGACATAGGAACAACAGAGATAGCAAGGAAGTTTGGAGAGACACTGCACAAGACAGATCTCACTTGTTTGTTTGATGGGGATTCGCTTTCAGATTCGGATTCTACCTTCTTTTTTTTTTTAGGGGATATTTATTTACTTACGCACGGGTCTTGATCAGAGGGTAGACAGAACTCTGGTCATTCCTGGTGCGGAACTTTGTAATACAAATCAACCCTTCTTCTTTCGAACATGTATTCTCTGCTTGCTCTTCGTGATTGTGATCTGTGATTTGTCTTGTATGATTGTATCTGGCGTTTAGGGCAACTGCAAAGAGGCTACTATTTTATGTAGGCATGTAAGGTACTGGTGTTGGTATTGTTCTTTTAGGGGGTTTGGAGAAGTGAAGGGGTACCAGGTATGGAGGGAAGGGGTTGATAATACGTTTTCACTTTACCACTTCACAAGAAGGCTTCTTTGACTTTTTCTAAAAGGTAGATATTAAATAGCAGGTATGCAGTGAATACTTTCCATCAAACCTGCTGCTTACCTGGATATCCATTCACTCACCTTATTCTTCGATCCTCTGAAGCCCTTCCAACAGTCGACTTAAGTATTAAGCTCACCTTCCTCACTTCCTCACTAATCTACCAATCCAATTACACACCACCAGACTACTACAACCAGATTCGCACTCCGTATTTCGCAATTGGCAATGCGTTAAGAGAGTGATAGAAATCTGCTACTGATTCCACTGGAGCTATGGGGGTATTAAGATACCGAAATTTTTATTAATTTGAATATCTTATATACATCGTGTGGTTCTTGAGTGAAAAACCTGCGTATAATTCACGCATATACCTCTCTCATAACTGTGGGCCTTTTGTTCGGATCTAGAGGAGAGATAGTTGTTACTATCACGCCACTAATAAGAAATAAGAAGTCAAGAGTTCGTAACTTTCTCAGGTATTACCACGTACATACAGATATACATAGAAAATACTTGGTATGCTACAGTTTTTGTAAACCGCTTTGTCGTGCAGATTAGCCATCATGATCTGATTTGGGAGTTTTGTTTAGTGAATTCTGAGTATTATGGGAGCAGCGTATCTAAGTCGAGTAGTTGAGTTTAGTAGAGGTACTGTACCTACTCAACATTAACTCGAGTGCTGCCTGAGTATAACTGAATAGTTAATCTTTTTGTTTAAAAGCTGTATGGGAGGATGAGATAGTGATTGGAATCTATGGGGGGTTCTTTGGGCCAGATTTCTTGAAGTGATGTGTGAGAGGCCAGACCTCGAATAGCTCAAAGGTGTGGTTTCGAATATTCAATTAAGAAGTGCGTGAAGACTACATACATGCAATCTCTTCCTCTATATATAGAGAGAGGAAGAGTTTCTGGAGTCTTCCAAGAAACTGTTTGACAAATACGTGACGTCAAAAGAATAGAGTAGAAAAGTGTAGAAAAGGAGAAACCAATTTAGCAGTGGAGCAATGGCCAATGCTGAGCGGGGACTTTGGTCAGTGCTTAGCGAGGGCATGGCCCGAGCCTCCATCATGGGTTCCAACCCTCACAGATGTGGGGAATGTACTAGCTAGGACTTTTTAAGTCCCGTAGAGTTACTATGGTATCAGTATGTGTTCCTGTGAGAAAATCTGATTAGTATCACCCAGAGATTCTTTGTTCAAAATACTCGATCTAGCTTACTACCCCTTTAGCGAGGAACTGATCTTGTTCTCAAAGACACACTTACATTCACAAAGGCTTGGCGTGACCACAGCACTAATATTGAGTTACTAATCCCTTCGACCATGTCATGGGTATCAAAGAGGACTGGGGGGCCGTATATTAGTTGCCTCGCCAACGCTCTCGGGTACAGTACTATAGCCTCCTTCCTATAAATACCTAGAGGGGAATGGGATGACCTGCCAGGAAACCTCTTCTGAATTGAAATCTTGAAAAGGGTGAGTCGACCGGATAAGATAGAAACGTCGGCGAGTTATTTATTCCAAATTCAATAACGTGATACATGGGTTAAAATTTAAATATTCTTGATATAAAAAGCGGCACTTTATGACCCCGCACTCCGTTAATGAAAGGTTGGGAGAATGAGTAGGAGGCGTCGACGAGGAAGATTTGTGTGAATCAGAAGAAAACTCAGATTTAAATTCACAGTCACAGGGACAACGAAAGACAGCAAATAATTCAAATTCCATCTCCCCCCCAAAACCACGATGCTATATTAGAAGTCTCTTACAGAATCTAATTTCAACAGACAGTTTGACCAAAACCCCTCATCCTCTGACCTCAACATATCCAAGAACATCCACAGCCAAACCCTCACCTAAACCACACCTCTCACCTTCTTAACTTCTCACTCTTATTAGCACCTCATACCCACACACACACACCCACAAACCCCATGTCCCCCCCTCCTCCTCTCCCTTCCCCCCCTCTCCCCCATCCCCCAACAAGCACACTAACCTACCTCCGCACCCAGCACGACGTCCCCCCAAAATCCCTTTTACAAACCCGCCGCGAACTCACAAAATCCGCCCTCTCCTCGAAAACCCACACATCACTTGAAAAAACGCGTCTCAAGCACGAGAAAAACCTCGCTGAAGCACGGAGAGAAGAGGCGCTTCGTCCGAGACTGGTTGCTCGGTCACGAGATGGTGTTGGTTCATGGCATGGGAGGATGGGGATGGGGAGGGGGAGGTATATGGCGTTTTTGGTATTTCAGAGCGGATTTGCGGGTATGCTTGTTTTGGCGACGATGATGGAGGGGAGGAGGGGAAGATATCCAGGACCGAAAGCAAAGGTAATGATGGGTCAGAGAGTTCTTTTTGAATTAGTCCTCAGTATCCTGATCATGGTTTCTGGTCTTTTATGGGGTGCAATCCTCTGTCTGCTCAGTATCCGAGGGGGTAAGACGGGGAAGGATTGGTTGGGACTTAGGGAGGTTAGTTCACTAGACCAAATTCAGGATGAGAAGTTAGGAAAGAGGGACTTGGAAGCGGGGTTAGCGGTCGTTGGTGGGAGATATGGATATGGATATGAAGAGAAGAAAAGGGTGAAGATCATAAAGATATGTGTACGGGACACTCATCGACTCGACCATAATCCTCCAAACACTCTCACCGCAAACAAATCAAACCTCACAAAGAAAAAAACCACAGCAGAGAAGTTAAAGATATCCCCAACTTCAACTTCTCATCCACGATCCCGTACCAACAGATCAATAACTCACCCCTCACCTCCAACCCCCAAAGTCTCCATAACGCCCTCATTACTCCCAGATCCAGCGCAAAAAGAGGAGTTCATCATCCCACCACCACCACCAACAGCTTCGCGCTCTCGAGCGAGTACTCAGCCCAAGACGTGGGTTTATACGAGGGATATCCCGTTAGATACTTTGACACCCGAGGGAACAGTTACAGAGAGACGACAGAAGACGTTGTCTCTTCAGTTGGGGGATGTGTCTGTTATCGATGGGGAGAGAGAGGAGGGTGATGAGGTTTTTGTTGTTGGTGGTGAGGATGATGAGTAGAGGGTTGTGGGAGGGGGGGATGGAAAGGTTTGGTGGTTTGGTTGAAGTGATTGTTATACTGGTATAAACTCAAAGGGTTTAAGGGTTGATATAGAATAGAGATATAGCTAGACAAAACTCACAAGTTCACGATATCAAGAAAAGATGAGAGGGTGAAATTCTCAGAACTACATGGATATCATTAACCATTCCGGCATCAAGAAATCAAATCAACACAAACTAAACCCTATCAGACCTCTTCTTATTCTCCCTATGTCTCTTCTCCTTCCCAACCACCTTCCTCCGCTTCTTCCATGCTCGATTCGTATCCCCTCTATTCTCATAAAACCACTTCTGGAAATCCGTTTCGGGAGCCGCACCTTCTTCCCTAACCTTACTCTCTTTCGGTTTCGCCTTACTACTTTCCCCCTTCTTCTGCGGTCGAGTTGGAGAAGTGGGTGTGTGCTCATCATCAACATATTCATCGTGTACACTAGGCCAGAGGAATTTCTTGTTGGCATGTGCGGTATCTGGTGTAGGAGCTGCGCTTCGCATGCCCCGGTACTCGAAATCTCGTTGTGTGAAGGGTGTCAGGGGGACTTTATCTTGAGATTCTTCTTCCATTTCTTCGTCGATGTCGTCGTCTGCGCCGAAAAAGCTAAATGAGGAGGGTGCTGGTTTAGGGGCCAGATCCTTGTTGTCTGGTTTCGGCCGCTTGAAAAGGGCCTCGAGGGGATGAACTTCTGTTGGAGGGACGGGAGTGGTTGTTATTTCCGGGACAGGGATTTTAATGCTTAGATTTAGGGGGGCACCCGAGGATGATTGAGGACGTGATGCTGGTTTAGAGTCGACCGTTTCGTTCTCAGATTCTGAAGAGGATTCTTTTTCTTCGGCAGACTCGGCTTTTGATGAGTCCTCTGAATCCGAATCTGATTCGGAATCTTCTGAGGATGAACCTGAACTTGAAGTTTCTGAATCTTCCTCGGCAGGAGGTGCGGATGTAGGCGCAGGCTTGGATACAGGCAAGTCGGTCTTATCGATTGACATTTTTTCCTGCTCTTCTTTTTGATTCTCCTCATCCTCGTCCTCGTCCGATGAACTTGCACTATCACTGCTGTCCCCGTCCGAGCTATCGCTTTCACTTTCGTTCTCTTCTTCCGCAACGGGCTCTGACTTTGACTCTGGCTTGTTCGACTCGGAAGTTTTCACCATCTTAATCGTAACCTCCTCAATTACATTTCCATCCTCATCAACCCATCCCTTTCCCTCCACAAACTCCGCGCTAATCTTCTTATTTCCAGCAGCCGTACTTCGCAAGAAAGTCGCATACTTGGTCATCTTCGCAAACTCATGTACAATAGCTTCCTTCCCAGCCTTATGTCTCTTCCTCTCCACCTTATCCGTAGCGGAAGTCTTCGAGCCTGTCGCAACGTTCGCAGGAATAACAGTTTTGAACAAGCACTCCGGGCCCGTCGTAAACTTCGACTTATTAACCCTCTTCTCCTTGTCCTTACTATACGCCGTCGCAAGCGGAGTAGTCCATCCCCTCTTCACCGAGCGATCCAGAATCTCCACAGCAGGGATAGTGTCATCCCTCTTCCTCTTCTTCGAGAGTTTCTTCTCCTTTTTCGACATTTTTCCCTCTTCCTCGACTACCGCAACACCTTCCTTCTCCGGCCGCGCCTTTTCAACCCGCACCTTCGTGCCCTTCAAAATCGCACCATTGAGCTTCTTTTTAATCTTCTCCGCATCCATAATCGGCAAGTCCACGAATCCGTACGCCTTTTCGGGGAAAGTAGCGATCGTATGGTACGAGATGTTGCGAGCGTTGGGCAGGATAGACGGCGGGAGAATAGCTTTGAGGAGGTTGGGCTCGAAGGGTGTGATGTGTAACCTTGTGTACTCTGCCTCTGATTTTGAGGGAGCTTCGGACTGGGCCATATCAGATTATTGCCATGACATACGTCTCTCTGCGGTGCAACAACTGTGTTGGCTAGGTGGCGTGTAAAGGAAACTGCTCAAAGAAATGGTAGGGACTGGATTAATTTTTGCGGGAGGAACGGTTAAATGCCGGTCTTTGTACCTCGGCGTAGTTTTCGCTGTAGGCCATGAGTAGGTACTGTAGGTACTCGAGTACCTACAGTACCTACTCTTCCTGGTCAAAGACCAGCTTGAAGCTCAAGTATCTTCACCATTGAACAGAGAAGTATATCACAAAGTTCCAGCATTCCAGAATAACAACCATACAACAATCCGCCTTCAAAAGCCCCAAGTCAAGCCAAAACTTCGGCACAACATCGCCAACCCAAGTACCGAGTACTGTACAGGTGCAGCTTGTCCCTTCCAGTCAATCCATCACAACCAATCCAAAGAGTCACAGTAAATAGTGGGGTTACAAACCACTCACATGAACCCACCTCAGCCCCTCCGCCAGCCCACCCATCCAAGATTTTCCGATTTTTCCTAGACTCAAATAAGCTGCCCACTTCCATCCAAAGCACAACCAACAACGGGCGCTTGGTCTAGGGGTATGATTTTCGTTTCGCACCATCAATTCAACATCGCTTGAATAGGGTTTATGAAAGGTCGCGGGTTCAATTCCCGCAGTGTCCAATTTTTGCTTACATTTTTACTCTGTTTCAAAAAATGTATTTTTCTGGGGTTGTCTTTTAGGTCCTTTTTTTTGCAGATGTTTATAGAGTTGAGAGCAGGGGAGAAGAAGCTGAGATTGTTAATGAGAGACATATGTAAATGGACTGGATTAGATGGGGAATGGTGTGTGTTAATAGATTCACAATGCCATATTTTTCTCATAAGGTTCAATAGAAAAGGAACTATGAATGTACAAAGCCACTGTTTTTGATTGAATTGACAACAATCCATTCTTTCCTTGCCGATTACTTCCGATGATGTACCGACGGCGTTTAGCCATGTGTGGACAACATCTTAATGACCTGAATTGTTTTTTTGATAGTGTGAAGTGGCAATGAAAAAAGCGACTTACAAGTACAGTACGGGCAAAATACTTATTAAACTTGAAGGAAATAAATGAATAGTAATGAGGTTAACTGTGTTTTAGTGATTGTTTTCTGTTTTCAGATAGGCGACGACAATTATCTGAAAGTAACGGATTTCTAAATAGTAATGAGGGTATGAATAAGATGGGAGAGACACTCAGACAGGCCAGTCAAACGATACACAAGACTCAAGTGATAAGTATAAAGAAATCTCCACATCATAGTAGCTTATAACAGTAAGAATCTTAAACAGATCATTTAAGTTAGAAGGTGTCGCTATCTTAGCTTAGGTCGCTTGTTCCATACATTACTGTCACGAATCACGTGTTAAACACGTGAATAGTTAGTCCAGACGGCGCTCTGACAGGACAGGCACATCATGGTCCTTATAGCAAATAGGGATCGCGTAGGTTAGCTAAGCGATCCAAGGATTTCTTTGTATGTAAATCACGTGACTCATACAGGTCGACTTCTCGACAGTCGACAAGTCCACAATCGTCTCTAGACTATAGCTTAGTAATACCTTACCCGAGATTAAAAGAGGCTAAAAAGAAGAAGAAGGAAAAGAATAATATAACAAAAGCGTAGTCTTTAGTAATAGTTACTATTAGAGACGTAAAAGGAAAAAGATATTAAGCCTCTTTCTACTTTATAAGAGGTAAAAGAATATTATAAAAGTCTCTTATAAAGTAGTTTATAGAAATCTTATAAATACTAATAATCTATATATTACTTCTACTACTTATTACATACTTAATTCTAGTACTTTAGCTTAATATTTTTGTGACGGTTCTCACCGCCACCACGCTACAGACCAGCCCTAGCTGGAACCCGGCGGCCACTGTGACGACACGTACGCAAGGCCCACGGTGTAGGTTGTGGAATCGTAGAACTGTCAATTAAACAAAGATTCTAAGCTGAGGAGAAGAGGAGAGCTCGAGAGAGCTTCGATCTAAATACTTGGTGTGGGTCGCTAAGCGAGACCACGTGATCCGAATGGTGGTGACGGTTAGAACCGTCACAGCCACCATGCGTCAAACGAGCCCCTGGCTGAGACTCGGCTAAGGCATGGCCCTTGGCGCCACCTCCTGTATTTAAGAAATTCTGGCTCTTGAGCTTCTGTCCTTCCTTCTCTTCTCTCCTTAGCTTAGAATCCTCGAATAGACAGTTCCACAGTGTCAATCTCACCACTCGTGATACCTGACGTAGTCGTGCTCTTGCGCGGTCCATCAGCTGTGCGTGTCGTCACAATTTTATTAATTCGAACTATATAACTTATAATAAAATAGATTTATTTTAGAACTACTTACTTAGCTATAAAGTCTTTATATTATAAATAAATAGTCTTTTATTATAAGTACTATTATATATACTAACGTGGTTTATCAGCGAGTCGATCATATCACCGAGTCGATCACTTTTCCTTGGCACTACCTCCTCAAACTTCAACACAAGTTTTCTTCAACTAATTACCATGGAAATTCAAACTCAAGAAGCGCGAATTACTCTAGCTATCGAGGCTATTCGGTCGTCCAAAAATCTAAGCAAACGCTCTGCGGCAAAGATCTACAATGTACCATATACGACTCTTTCCGACAGAATGGCTGGCCGAACCTACCGCCCAGATTCTCAAGCCAATTGTCATAAGTTGACTGAGTTAGAAGAGGAAGTGATTATTCGGTATATACTGGATATGGATTCCAGAGGATTTGCGCCCCGGCTCGCTGGTGTAGAAGATATGGCTAATTTTATCCTTGAATCGCGGGGGGGAAGACGCGTCGGCAAGCTCTGGGCCCATCGATTCGTACAACGACAACCAGACCTTAAGACGCGTTTTAATCGCGTTTACGACTTCCAGAGGGCCTTATGCGAAGATCCTGACGTGCTAGGCGCATGGTTCCGGCTAGTAGAGAATATGAGGGCGAAATATGGGGTTACAGACTCCGACTTCTACAACTTCGACGAGACAGGCTTTATGATGGGTGTTATTTGTCCTAGAATGGTTGTTACTCGTGCAGACCGACGTGGTAGAGGCAAGGCAGTTCAGCCAGGCAATCGGGAATGGGCTACAGCAATTGCCTGTATTAATGGGGAGGGCTGGAGTATTCCTCCATTCTTGGTAGTTCAGGGCAAGAACCATCTCTCCAACTGGTATACCGACGGCGGCCTCCCACCTAACTGGGTTATGAAACCGACAAGCAATGGTTGGACAAATAATGAAACAGGCCTGGAATGGTTAAAGCACTTTGATAAACACACTACAACTCGTGCAAAGGGTCTGTATCGAATACTAGTTTTGGATGGGCACGAGAGTCATGAATTGGCTGAGTTCCAAGACTACTGTACGAAACACAACATTATTACTCTTGGACTACCTCCTCATTCATCCCATCTAACCCAGCCACTTGATGTTGGGTGCTATAGTGTGTTAAAACGAGCGTATGGTCGGCAGATTGAGACGTTTATCAAGGCCCATATCAACCATATTACAAAGGTTGAGTTCTTTCTAGCCTTTACAGCAGCATACAAGGAAACAATGACAGTCCTAAACTGTCAGTCTGGGTTCCGCGGGGCTGGCCTAGTACCATTTAACCCGCAAGCAGTGCTTTCAAAGCTTGACGTAAGGTTACGGACTCCAACTCCCCCTCGGACGTGTAGTGCCAACTCCCTCCCCTGGGTGTCCCAGACCCCTTCCAACCCAACTGAAGCCCTTTCACAATCAACTCTTGTACGAAATCGTATAGCCTGTCATCAAGGAAGCTCGCCAACTCCACTTTTCCAAACAGTTGCTGCGTTAGCAAAGGGTACAGAGCGAATGGCACATGAGATGACCCTTTTGTCTGCTGAGGTCCGTACCCTTCGCATTATTTAGGTGTAAAGTTCTGTGCCAAGAAAAAGTGATCGACTCGGTGATATGATCGACTCGCTGATAAACCACGTTATTACTCTAGATTTAATTATTAGTAAGTATATTAAATACTAGTAATAGTTTTATATTACTATACTAGTATCTTATAATATTATTCTAGGCTAACTATAGCTAGCTTTTTATAACTTAAATATAGACTAGACTAAGCGAGTTATTGACTTTTATTCTAGGTTTTATAAAGCTTATTATATTATATAATAATTAGATACTATATAAGTTATATATATAAGAGAGGAGGTATAAGTACTACTGTGACGGAGCTGGATTTCATTTGACAGGATTTCATTCGCTTGGCCAAGCACGTGACGAGACTTGGCATTGGAACAACTTAAATAACTTCGCTCCTTTCAGATTCTCTTCTCTCTTTAGTTTGATTTCTTCGTACCTACGGTTTTAGTTCTAGCAATTGATTCAAAAGCTGTGTACACTTTATCCTTTGTTGGCATCCGTGACATACTCTAGAAGAGCTACGACTCTATAGAGAGTAGCTATCTAGAATAAAATAAGTTATTTAAACTAGTCTCTTAGTATTACTAGTAGCCGAAATTATATTATAATATTACTTAATTTTATAAAGCTTATAAGAATTATACCTATAATAAATACTCCTAGTTTTATTATTAAAGTACCTTAATGTCACGAATCACATGCTCACGTGATACTTGTCATAATAAAGAGGCGCAACCCTCGACAGGCACATCCAGGTTTCTTATAGCAAATAGGGATTGCTTAGGCCAGCTAAGCGATCCATGGATTTCATTTGGTTGTTGTCACGTGATGGACCCCGATGGATCCAGAAGGGATCCACGGATCCAGAAGGGATCCAGTAGAACGAAGGTTCTATATAAGACTGGCACTTCTGCCATTAGATAGGAGCTTCGTGCTCAACTTAGTTATCAATCTTATCATATTAGTTTGACATCTTTGATACAAGTAACGAGTTCACTTCCAAGTGAACAACCCGATAGTCTTCTTCTTATCATAGCATACCAACCAGCGAACACCCAGCCAAGTTTAGTTAGCCAGTTTGAGTATTCGTTACACTTAAAACTACTTCTACTTCTACTTTAATACTAGACCGACTTATCTATAGACTTTATAGGTCCTCTTACTAGAGTTAATAAGTTTAACTAGATAATAGTAGTAACTAATAGGCTTTCTAAGAACTACTATATTATCCCTTACAAGACTACTATAACTACTATAGACCTAGCCTATATCTTTATTAGAAAGATCTAGAAGCTCCATAGTCTTTCTAGCTTAATTATTTCTGACTAAAGTACTTTATTTATATTAGAATTCTAAAATACTATTTATTATATACTATAAGTTTAAGTATAACTCTTAATAGCTTACTATCTTAAGACTAATAGCTAGACTAAAATTATGAATAAGTTTATTATAAAGTATTTTTATTTTTATTTAGACTTTACTTAGAAGAAGTAGGTATATTACTTTTTTCTAGTAGAGTTTATTATATATAATATTATAAATAGCTTTACTAAGATATCTCTCTTCTTTATAAACTATAGTTACTATCCTCGACTAAGCTTATACTACTAGAAGATCTTACTTTTATATTACTAAAAGAACTAGCTAGTACTTAGTTTATATAAAAAATATAAGAGATCTTTAATTTATTATAAACTAATCTTCTTACTACTTAAGACTCTATAAAGTCCTCTACTAATAATTCTAGAACTCCTACTCTTACTTACTAAGTAAGTAAATTAGTATTATTAAGTATAAAGAATATTCTATTTATTTATCTAATTCTAAAGTTTAACGCTAAGTTTATAGGCCTATTCTAGGTCCTTTAAAAGGTTAACTCGTATACTTATAAACTAGACCTCCTAGTCGAACTAGAAGCTATCTACTTAGTTTTCTATACTAATTTATTACGCTCTTCTATAGGTACCCTACTCCCTAGATAGTATAATCTACTAGCTATACTAGTAGTACTTAATAGTAGTAGCTAGAAGTTATAGGTAATCGATAAAATTCTAGACTCTAGGCGCTACGATTATTAGTTTAAGTATTAAGTTTAGTAGCGTAGTTATAATAAGAACTTATAAGAACCTTTTATGAATATCTTTATAGGTTCTATATATTATATCTTATTCTATTATTCTTTCTTTAATAAGTTAAAGCCTACTTTAGAGGAGTTATAGGCTACTCGCGCTACTTTTAGGTAGTAAGTCTATTAGATAAGGGGAGGCCTTATATAAAGGTTCGATTTCGAGTTTTATAGTAAATAGGTTTTATACGTAATATATCTATAACAGGGGTATTTGTAGATACTTAAGTAGTTCTACCGCGGGAGTCTCTCCTTCTCTCCTTGCGGACAATCTATTCAATATTCCACCCTAACACTAGCATGTCGTAACAATTGCCGTCACAAATCAAAAGACGATGCCCTGGCGTTACTAATTCCTCTATGGATAGATAAGACTCTTATTAATAAGTACTTATCGGAGAATCAAAGTAAATAAGTAAACTTAAATCTAAATCTAAATAGATTAAATTTAAATCGGTGGCTCTTTATAAGCACATGCCAATATCTATGCAAGTCTAAATACAAGTTTAGAATCCAAAACCTTGTCTAAGGGGCCTTTGATAAGTACAATTAGCGTCTCTTCACTAATATTCATACTGATTCCAAAGCAATGTGATGTATGCGTCCCCAAATGAGTGAAACGTCGCAAGCGAGTAACAGGGGAGTGTCCTTATTCCTGAAAGTCCTTTGGGATCCTAAGCATGTTTGTCTAAGCGAGACGAAAGGGGGGGTGTTTTGTGTGATATATGCTGGCTCGGTTCATACCGCGAGGGCAAATTTTGTCGCTTTTTTGTGTTTTTCCGCTGGTTTTGTAAGGAAAGTTAAGACTATACGCAAGTTTAGAAATAAGTCGGCTTTTTAGTTGAAATGGCTCAACAAGGAGATCAGTCTAAAGGAGGGGCCAGAGAAGGGGCGAGAATCAGTTTGTGGCAAAGGAACAGCAGAGACAAGAGTGCAGGAGTCTCAGCTAAGACCGTCCGACATGTCGTAACCCTTGAAAAGAATCAAAATAAATATCCCAAAACAGAAGTTATATTATATACTTAGTTCAAGCAAACAGTTGTAAGATTAAAAGGCATTGGTAAGTGTTACAAATAGGTTGAAACATTAACACTAGGGAAATATTTATACAAGAATACGAGTTTAGGTGAGAGATAATAAGAAAAACATTGGAAACGTGGTTTGCTTAAAGCGTTAAAAAGAGTAAGAAAGGGTAATTTAGGAAAGAAAGAGGCTTTAGGGAGTTCCCCCGTCTTTAAGTGTAGTCGAAATATATAATGCCCCTGATCATATGACTATATCAATACTAATTTGAGATCCTCTGGTAACAACTTAGTTAAATGAACTTTATGCTAGTTTTTAGCAAACCAGGGTGTTACAAGAGTACCACACTTGCCAAATGAATATAGAAGAGGGTCATTTGGAAACACAGCTTAAAACAAGAATGTTAACAAAGGTCCATCTTTAGCGAAGTGTTCTAATCCACAAAAGTAAAGAGGCAGATATTACAATTGTCTAATATTCCTACAGAACCACCACACGTACAGTTTGATAATTCGTCGCACAAATCCAAACCTGTCAATAAAAAGTCAGCTGAATAAATTGAAGCCATATGTAATGACTATGAGCTTACAGCGGCCAGGAAGCAAAAGCCTACAACAATCAGTACGAAAATTTAAGTTCTATTTTGTGGATTTACATACAATCTTGCTAGTGGAGACGTTGCTCATTGTAGGTCTGAGATCCAAGCCTGAGACCCAATACCACCACAATCGCTAAGGCGACTATTGACTTTCTCGCAGTGGACGTTCTGATATCCGCTGTGACTTGAGCAAAAATCATTTTGAAGCAATGTTCAAGAAGAATGGTTTAGAAAAGACCTGTTGTAGGGGTTTTAGCGTATTGAGGAAGATCAAAGTTGATGTGTTCACCAAGACTTTCGTAAAGGAAATGATTTCCACATACAGGATAATTATCTGCCTGAGCAGTCTGTAGATCATTGTGGGCGATAAGGCATTATTGCAGTACCGCCAAGGCTATTTGTTGGACTTTGATAAGTTGTTGGCGATTTACTTTAATTGGCAGGCTGTTATTGTGACCAGCATAGGGGAATGCAGCGAGTGCGATTCGCTCTTGTAGGGATAAAAGCAACCTTATCACTGCTTTTTGTGGCACTCCCAAATGGTAACGTAACGTACGAACGCACTCCAAAGACCAGCCTTATGTTTATGCATGTACAATATCACATTTTACAAGCATGGCAGAGAATCTCAAGATTAGATGACATACAAACCAAGGAGAATTACCTTTGTTGAGGGCGGGGAAGCTGTGTCACTGAAAGATTCGCACAGTAGGAACACCTTCCTCTACCGCTATCATAAATAAGAATTCTGATAGGGTGATCTTTAGGCTAAAGAGAAGTACCTTTGCTCAGGGAGAGCTGTGTAACTGAAAGAATCGCACAATGAAACCTTGGAAAGAGATAATGAAGCATGGAACTTACCCATTTAGATATAATATTGTTGTAGAATTGAGAAGGAGGAGTTTTATATAGACATGTTGGTTGCATATCTGCATCTCTCTGCCACCCACCGAGTGGTGGTCGAGGCACAGCACCCCAGGATGCATGTATTATTCCCTTCTTCGCCATCCTCGACCATCTTGCATGACCATCTTGCATATCAAAAGCCCGGGAAACAACCTGCATGCCAGGGGGCGTAGCAATATCCTGCGCGCCCTATACTGCAAGGTGAAAGGTGTGGCTACAACCTTGATGGGACGCGTGCTAAGGTGACATCTACCATCAATAACTTCACCCACATTTCTACACCTATGAAGGAATACTTGCCCCCTACGTCTCAGTATCATGGGTAAGCTCACGTCTCAAAATGCATTATGAGAATATCCCCTCATGACGTATCAAGGGCATCTATCTGCCATGTTCACCTTCCTCAAAGTTACGAGGAACGGATTATGGGGCGGGCGGAGAGAAATAATTCCTATGTCTTCTTCTGTAGACTTTGTGTGTGAAGCAGCTAGAATTCACATTCGATGTCATGCAAATCAGTTGAAGTTTCAAGATTTGAATTTTCAATGGCCATGATTCTCGTATTTAAAAAGACGAGACCATGTAGTTTGTTTTACAAATGGCATCTTCCATCCCGGCAACTGACTATAATTCAATAAATCACTTTGCTGTTGATCAATCCTCCCGGTTTCGGTTTGAGTAAGTATTTCCAATACTTCCTCTTCATGCTCCGCGATGAGATGGGACCGTAGTAAGGCTTTGATCTTGTCCGTTCAAAGTGTGTTCGGTGTCATAACTCTTGTTTCCATTCACGGATCTCAAGGGATAGTCCATTCCATCGGATGTGTGGCTGTCTAGTTTCGTAGTTCCATTGACAGTGGGTGTGGTGCTAAATAGCGAGTCCTGGATATATTTCGCTCTTGCCCACAGTACTCGGGCTTTCGGTCCAGCTGGTCGTCCAGCTCGCTCACGCTGTTCCCTCTGCTCTGCGTCTCTTTCCCGTTCTTTGGCCGCAAATAGAGTGCGGAACGAAGCAAGACATGCTACAAGGACAGCTACTCTTGGCTTAGTTTACTAAAATACAGTAAATATATATCAGAAAACTTACCAACAGATGCCTCGATATGGTGCCATATAAAGTGCGAAGTAACCTCAACCTGTTTGTTGGCATTTGAACCAGCCGCGCTCGAAACTATAGCGATTCGTACAATCGCAACAACAATGGTAAGGATAACGAGGCAGAATATACCTCCCAACTGTAATTTCCGCTTAATAGTCATACGAACTCTCCAAAGCATTGATATTGGCATAGAAATAACTACGAATACATGTTAGTGAGTAATTAACGTTGACAATGTTGATTCCCTTACTTAGTGCATCTGTTATAATATCCAAGGCAGCGGGGAATTTGAGTGCAAAGTCCTGAAACTTGATATCCTTCGGACCAGCACACGTTCCCTGGGAAGCTGTGGATTGCTCGAAGGTAACGGCCAGACAATCATACTGTATTGTGCCAACACACACAATACCCGCTGCCAGTGTGAAGATTAAAACGGCCCACCAGTAGATTTTGTAGTAGTTGGTTACTTTATCACCCAGCTTACGGAAGAAAAGTAGAAAGTTGATCTTGATAGTCCATAGCACCAAGTAGAACATCAACCACGCGGCAAGAGAACCATGGAGATATTGTTCGAGACTGTGGGGAAAAGTTGCGGTAAGATAAGCCTTCCCAGAAAGAAAATTTGCTATCTCGTAAAAATTATTGATAATGACGGTCCAAAGTAGTGCGGTACCGAGGAGAAGCATCCAAGCAAAGGATACCAAGAAGTCATCGAATTGAAGTCGATGAAGATATTTCACTCTTACGAACAACCGGAACGCAAGACCGAGCGTACCTATAGCGGTACCAGCCCAAATAACAGCCTTCACAAGTTAGATTATATCCTAAAGCTAGTCATTCTTTCTCCCATGACAAAAGGCCTTACCAGAAATGTTGACTTTCTAACTGATGGCGGAACCATCGTTGGACTCAAGGTTTGGGATTCCATAGTGAGAATGGATTTCTTTGATGGGCACTTTCAGAGAGTGTATGAGGATGCAAAGTGCGGAACCGGAGAACTGTATTGTTGTCATATGAGAACTAACTTGAAAAGAACTTCAACGTTCCTGGTATAGGATACCGGGTAAGTCTAATGTGTCCAGGAACTTAGCAGTAGGGGCTGTAGCCTGAATGCAGGATCCCACTTCAAAAGTAATAACCGATGCTAGATAGACGGATTGAGCGTTCAAGGCTTTGTAGAAGGTTCCCAGGGTGGGCTTAAGGACGGTATGCGGGAGCATGTATCTAGAGCCGTAATAAGCGAGATCGTAGTGGCCTAGAAGAAGTTGGTTGTCCCGGGGTTTGCAAAGATTCCGCTACAATAGAGATGGCCACGATGAAGGGATCAATTGGGTCCGGCCGATCATCTAGTGTAAGATACCGTGAGTCATTTTCCTTGTCATTGGCCTTTCGCACAATTTTCGTTATCTTCGTCCATTTTTCTTGTCAATAGTAGAGAGGTCTTTGAATGGTATGCATGGGCGAATCCGCACCCTAGCTGGTTTGGCTGCATGTGGACTGGGTACAAGTAACACTTTTGGTAAAGTCGCCTTGCATAAGCCCCGACTATTCCCTCAATCCCAGAGCCCACCTCCTGCACCAAAACAATCAAGTACGCATATGAAGTTTCCTTCTTTTATACATCAAGAGGGCAAAGGAAAAAAGGGGGGGGGCACAGGAAAACATTACAGGATGAGGTACATCTTTACTATTTTTTGGGGTGGAACTAGTGTGCATCAAAATTCAAAAATGCATCACATATCAGTTCCAGATGCCTCTTGTATACACCTACCGATCATCCTCTTCATGATATTTCTCACGCTACCAACGATATTCTCTTCGCAGCAGAAGTAAACAACATGTTGTCTATTATCGTTGAAAGATTTTCCAAATGGCAAAATGAGGTAGACGGCAAGAGTTTCGCTCTTACAGCTGTTCTACTTTTCTTTGTCTGGAGATCTATCAGTCTTTTGATGCTTTATTTACTGCACCCGGTACTATCCATCTCCTGAAAATTTATAGCAACAAGTACTGAGAATATGCAGATCAACATGATCATTGAAGGAAAAACCCTGATTTGCGGAAAATGGCTGAGCGAATTGGATTTCATCCTGAAAGGAGCTGATAGTATTGTTCAGTTATCCGAAAAGGTTTCCTCCTATTTCCAACATTCGGAATATGCTAATGTTTCTTAGGTCAATAAGAAGATATTTGCAATTTCAGCTCTTTCTTATCAAATACTTGTTTCAAATCTGCAACAAATCATGGAATTTGCAAAGGCAGGTGAGGATGCGATGAGCTTCAGAGCGGCCATGAATGAGGTGAAAATTTCCCAATATAGTTATAAACGAAAAAGCTTCTTACGCCTGTGTCAAAACAGAGACTTTTCTTCAAGCACACTATGTTTGGATTTGAACTGAACGATGTTGATCCACACGACAAGATACCACGACGTGTCGCCAAGGTTTGTCTCAGAAAACCTCGCTATTTTAGGGCCAGTCTTGGAAAAAAGGGTTGCGGAGGTCTGTTCCAGACTGGGGAGCAACCGCCAGCAGAACGGAGAGGAAGGTGTGAGCTCTAGAATCTTTATCTAGAAAATGATATTAACTCTTCTATTTGCTATGAAGGTGCTATAAGTGTCTCAGCCTTCGAATTGTCGAAAAGCTGTGTGGCAAGAATGAACAATCAACTACTCTTCGGAAGCGAACTTGGCAAGTAATAAGCGTCTGAAAACTCATACTGAGTTCAAGAAGTGGAACCTAATACATTACTTAGGCGAAAGTGATGAGTTCGAAAAGGAGTCTATCAGATATGCATGGCACACCATGATCATCATGCAAATTCTACGACAAATTCCTTCAATCTTGGTTCCGTAAGTTATCAAGCGCTCCTCACAACCAACATGTGCTTACACTTCGAAGATTAGTGGTAAAATTGTTCATGTTCTGGAGTGGCTCCGTGAAAAGGGTTGGGGCTCAAATACAATTGATAGTGATGGACCGACTTGAAAATAGTACTCAAGGGCGTGAGAAGGCTCATGTATTAAATATTCTGCTACTTCGCTATTCCGTCACTATCTAATGCTCTTTCCAGATTGATGGCATAGAATGGGTGATTTCCTCTTCTACTACACCAGAACAAAAAGCCCCATGTCGAATTATCCAACAGATGGTAGCGCTGTTATTCGCATCTATGCATCAAATGCAGATGGTAAGTGGAGAATCTTTTACTTCCACTCAGCGCGCATATTTATTTCTGACACTTATAAGGCAACCTCATGGGCCTTGATCGATCTTTGCACATACAAAGAGTTCATTGAGCCACTTCGAGCCGAAATTCGCTCTACGTTTCAAAGCAACCATCAAAATCCGTACGATAGGCTTTATCTTATGGATAGCTTTCTCCGGGAATCTTCAAGAATGAATCCACTTGATGGTTGTATGTTATACTTGGCCTTGTTACTTAACGATACCCTCCTGATTTACTCTAGTGACTGTGCAACGCAAAGCGCTTAAACCCTTTACTTTCTCTGATGGCTCCCACATCCCAGCGGGAAACCTTGTATCTATCCCCCAGAGGGTGGTAATGAATGACCCTGCACGCTATACAAGCCCTCAAAAGTTCGACCCCCTACGCTATATGAAATCGAGGACTGACCCAAGTGCCGCGACGACAAAGTACGCGGATGTCAACTGGGATTACACATTCTGGGGTTCGCCAAGAAAAAGCTGGTATGTGACCCATTACATTCTGGTTGTCCATAGTTAATTCAACGATGTGTTGTTTTAGTCCTGGCAGATGGTATGCATCATACGCATTGAAATATGTGTTGGTACATCTTCTCACCAATTATGATTTGGAGTTGGTTAGACCAGATACGCCCAAATATTTCATCTGGACGACGGCAATTGTTCCCAGGTCCGATGTCTTCATATCCTTAAAAAAGCGTACCGTTTAAACTTATATTCTTTTCTTACAACGATTTAAGGGAGCTGGGGGGGGGACCATCTATCTAGTGAGAGTTTTAAACTAATAAAATAACAAGTCCCGGGCTTTTATTTAACCTAGGAAGTGATAATAATGGTTTCCCCTGTTTTTAAAACAGCTTCCACGTTTTGAAAAGCTATCGTATCGTTTCTTAGTCACAACCAGTATTTTGTTGTAGCAGCTAATGAATATTTCCAGTTTTCAGCAATAGCACCACGGCAATTAGAAATTCATTGAAATCACCCATCTTTCTTACTTTCCTAGTGCTAAATAGGCTATTTGGCACGGTTAAACGGCAATTTTGAGACTTATCACCTGCAGATCACGCATCTCAGAGGCTCTATCGTCAAGTAGAGTTCAGCAGCCAATGCTGTTACATTACATCATGTCTTGGCCAACTGTTACATTATATGCTGCTTTAAATTACTAAGCGACGTTTACCGGTCCCCCTTTGAGAGATGACTATGTACATACGCCGAATTCAATGTGTGAGCCGTCCACCACTTTCTGTATTCTCGCTTTCGTAAGTCCTAAACAAGCACTGGAATAAATCCTTCCAATAAGACCCATGTCAATTGTGCCATGAGTGAGCATGTTCTTGCATCAATCAAGTACCACCTACCGCCAAGCAGGATGAACTCCGTATGTGTATACTTTGCATACTTTACATACCTTGCATGGACACTACAATAAAATAGTGGCGCAGCGGCCCCCAAGTACATACCCTAATCCCTATCCATCACTATACATGGACACTCCCCATCTTGCGAAGGATGAGAACGAGTTTTATTACTAGTCGCGTGGTAGTCGGATGCGGCGCGGCTAGACTCCTTCAAGAAACCCTTAATATTATTAGCCCTGTGGGGGTTATGTCCGACAAACTGGATATTTTTTCCAACTAAAATAGAGCATACAAAAGTCAGATTCTTTTACTAGTAAATGCTAAATAGAAACTAATAAAAACTAGCTCCCGTTTAGTAAGACGAGAGCTAGTATTAAATCATATAGTCTTTCTAGAATGTAATATTATCGAATGATATAGTAGCTATAAAAGCTGAACTTCTTTTATACACATCTATTAAATATATAAATATTATCATAACCCTCCCTTCTCGAGTATTATTAGTGTCCAACCAAAAGAAAAACCAAAGACATATTAACAACTTACTACCTAGGTACTCTAACATGCACCGTGAAAAAAAAAGCTCCCTACTGTGAGAGGCCAGACCTCGAATAGCTCAAAGGTGTGGTTTCGAATATTCAATTAAGAAGTGCGTGAAGACTACATACATGCAATCTCTTCCTCTATATATAGAGAGAGGAAGAGTTTCTGGAGTCTTCCAAGAAACTGTTTGACAAATACGTGACGTCAAAAGAATAGAGTAGAAAAGTGTAGAAAAGGAGAAACCAATTTAGCAGTGGAGCAATGGCCAATGCTGAGCGGGGACTTTGGTCAGTGCTTAGCGAGGGCATGGCCCGAGCCTCCATCATGGGTTCCAACCCTCACACCTACTTCCCTTATCCCATCTCTATCTCCATCTACATACCTTCCTTCAAGCCTTTAAACTAGGTAGTTAAACAGAATTATTGCGCTTAGAAAAAATATCTCTGTTTCTTTATTATTCTATAACGAAGAGCTTATAAATACACCCCTAAGCATACCAGGGAAGCCTTACAACTTCTACGCAGACTTGGGCACGATATAAACGTTTCGATATCGGGGGGGTCTACGATAATTATTATATCGTGAATATATAGACGATACGATATCGGCTTTTTCACGATATCCGATATAATATCGATTATCGCTATACGTGAGGTGGGAAAACAGTAGATCCGGCTCCGGACTAATTAGAACGCTTTATTCTTAAAACTCCTTAACTAATAACACTACTACTAATACTACTACAACTAAGAAGTGCTACCACTTAGTTCTATACCGACTAGTTAGCTTCGGAGTATATAAAAAGTAGCTTTTATTCGAAACTACTAAATCCTCTAATTAACGTACTTCATAAGGAGTCCGGATTTATAAGCAGTCCGGATTTTTTACCCCACCATCCAACTTTTAAAAACCATAGAACTTTAACCACTTAATATTTATTTATATAAACTATACTATCTTTCTTATTCTCGATCTGGGCACCTAGGAGCAGTATGCGCTAGTGATCTACATATACTACAGGTTCGTGGTGCACGAATTCGTGGTTCAATTAGCGGGGCCACAGCTTCATCCAAAACCATATTATCACTATTTTGAATAAGTTCCCTCCCTTCCTGACCTGTAAGAACACCCCCAGTAGCAATATATTGACGTCGCACAGTCTTCTTCTTCTTTTGACGTTCAGATTCAGCTCGTAAACGTCGATTTTCCTCTGCCAAAACCGTAGCTGATTGCATAGCCATCTTACACCCTTTAACCAATTGATCTAATGCAATAGCAGTAGGGCTTGAGAGAACGTTTGTACGTCGTTTAATAGATGCTTTAATTGTCTGGGTTTGCTGATCTGCCTCATATGTATTATGGGGTGTCTCAGGGACCCAAGGTAGTAGGTTTGGAGAAAGTAAAGGAGGAGTAGGCGTATGTAATTGAGTATGTAATTTACTCAATACTTGATCTGGGTTGTACGGGACAAGGCCAGTAGTTGCGAATCCATTACAGATTGTGTTTTTGACCATAGTACTTGTACGGGCTACACGATATATTGAAAGGAAGTCTGGTTTATCGATATGATATGTGCCGGCTCGTACTAGCTCCTCGACTCCTCGTCCATAAAGTCGCTTTAAAACTGCAAAGCAACTAACATCTAATGGCTGTAAAAGATGAGATGAGTGCGGTGGCATACAAAGCGTTATGATGTTATGTTCTGAACAGAAAAGATCGAATTCGGGAGTAGAATGACTACCATGGCCATCGAGGATTAAAAGTCGATATACTCCTTTTACACGGTCCTTGGTATATTTCTCAAATACGTCTGAAAGCCACTTAAGACCTAAGGAATCATTGGTCCACCCTTTATCACTAAGTGCAATTGTCCAATCTGCTGGTAATTGATCTGTATACCAAGTCGATATATGCACCTTGCCCTCAAATATAACCATTGGAGGCAACACCCATCCATCTGCACAAATTGATTCGACAACTGTAACCCATTCGCGATTCCCTGGTTGTATATGAATAGCCCGTCCTGTATATTCTGACCCTGTAACAACTTTTGCGGTCGCAATTACTCCCATCTGAAAGCCAGTCTCGTCGAAATTGTATATATCCTCCGCTAGTATACCATATTTCGCAACAATATTATGTACTAATCGAAACCAATCTCGGATAATCGTAGGATCCTCGCATTTTGCGCGCTTATAGTCGTATTTACGAGTGTATTTCGTCCGTAAAGAGTCGTGGCGCTTTATAAAGTTGTCAACCCAGCATTTTCCGACAATAATTCGACCTACTCCAGTTCGCTTTTCCAGTAGTAAATCGGCCATTTGGCGTATCGAATCTTTCCGTACTGGCAGACCTCTAGCTTCCATTGATAACATCCATTGTATAAGTGCTGATTCCTCGAGGTCGGTGAGTTTCTGGTTTCAGGGTCGGAAATCGCGTTGTGGAATAGCTCCCTTGACGCGGTCGTAAGTAGTAGAATATGGCGCATCGTACCTTGTACAAGCTGCTTTTAAGCTTGTAAATTGACCCTTATTGTATGCACTGATTGCAAGAGCAATTTGACCTTCTTTTCGAGACATTTGAACAATAATTGGGTAAGTTATGTAGATTGAAAGTGTGTAGGGTGGTCAATGGTGGGGTAAAAAATCCGGACTGCTTATAAATCCGGACTCCTTATGAAGTACGTTAGTCAAAGAGTTATTACGTAATCACAAAACAACAAAACCCTACTACTATATAAGGATTATTTTTTATATACTCCGAAGTAAACTAGTAGTCGCCCTTAGAACAAGTATATTTCATTTAAACCTTTTTTTGTCTCTTTACTCCTTTAATAATCGTATTCCTACCCTAGATTTACCTTGAAAATCTCCCTAAAATAAGCCCAGAATATACTAATTTTAGGTACAAAATATCGATATTGTTACTTTTTAGACGATAAATTATCGGTATCGTAGGAATATATGTCGGCGATATATATCGCGATAATCCGATAAATATCGTCATCGTGCCCAAGTCTGCTTCTACGTAGCATTGCATAGAACCTATCCATCTACCTCGCTTCATTTAACTTTTAGTTAGTCTTCAAATAGCAGTTATTAATCGTCTTTCCCCTAACTTCACAACCTAGCTAGGCTAACCCCGTTAGCATCTACATCTACATCAACATCAACATTAATAACACAAACCGCCTCCCACCAACCCACCTACAACTCGCGCCTCAACACTAAACACTACCAACCATCTCCATACCATCTCCACAAAAAACCAAAAAAGTACTCTCCCTCTCCAGAATCCTAATCACAACTCCAATCTTACACTAATTAATCTAATCCATCTAATCCACCCCCCACCCCCCCCTCTCACGTTCTCACCAACTACTTCTTCAACAGATATCTCACATAGTTATAGCATTATACCTACAGTTTCGTCTATCGCTATAAGTAGAGGGTTTGAAGTAATACTCGCTTAACCTTAATACGCATACGCTTACGTCTTATTTAAAGGTATTTGTATTTCTTACTAGTATAGTATAGGTCGAAGCGTATTTCGGATAACTACCAAGATCTCTTAAGCTAACACCGATATTAATACCTTACTGTAATAGTGCCATACTAAGTGATTTAACAGGATAAAACCCTCTCTTATAAAACTATATTCCACCTTCATTCTCCCCTTCACTATCTACAGATAATCTTCCCCTTCCCCTTCCCCATCTACAACCCATCCAACTTCCACATAAACAGAAAAAGTACCAAGCCCCAAGCATCAAGCCTCAAATACAACGATCCTAACCCTAAACCCAACACTAACACCAACCCCAAAATCTACAAACAGTATTCTACATACCCTCTGGGAACTACGTCAGGAAATACCTAACACCGGGCAAGACAGCCCGGGGTACAAAACCTTCCCCAACGCGTAATTTTCCTGATACTAACGGTGGCTGTTAAACCTTAAATATTCTACTAAGACGTAGTTCTTTATTTACTTGTTTATGCGTTAACTTATTTATATGTAGGGGGGTGGGAGGAGAAGGAAAGAAGGGGGGGGGAAATAGGGGTATAATAGAAGTAGAGATTTATAGGATAGTAAAGTACGAAAGTACTTATAAAGAGGGATAAAGGGATAGAGAGAGAGGGATAGGTAGAAATAACTAAGTACTTATAGGTAGGGAGGGAAAGAGATAAGTGAAAACAACTAAGTACTTATAAGTAGATAGTTTATAAAAGTAAAGAGAGTAGGAAAGGCTTTATAATATAGATAGATAGCTCCTAGAACGCTTAGGTTACGCTTAAACTCTCTTAGAAGTATGATAGTCTCTAGAGTACTTTCTCTCGAGCCTCCATCCCTAGGATCCTACTTTTTTATACTTATTTAACTCGGTGTTAGGTATTTCCTAATACCGTCCCTACTTTTAACTACCTAATTAGGATAGTGTTAGGAATTTCTATATAGTGTTAGGAAATGTCTAACACTAAGTTCCCAGCGGGGTACTATATATATTCCACCTCACATCACCAACAAAATCTCAATACCACAACCTCCTTATACTCCAATAAAATACCGTAAGACCCCAAGACCCCAAGACCCCAAGAACAAACGACAAATACACAGTACAAAAACAGTATATAAACACCCAACTTTTATCCATCTACTACCTACTATATAATCCCCCATCTCTATTACTCTCATCCATCTCATCTCATCTCATCACACAACTTCCGTGTTAAGTTGGTACTTCTCTAGCACAATCTTCTACCTCCCTCACCAGGCCTAGGCAAGCACCTCCTAACCAACACTCGACAAAAAGAAAGTATCAAACCACCCTCCCTTCCCCACCTAATCATCCTTTCCTTCCTACCACCTCTACCAACCCACTCACTCGCGTATTCACGCACGCACTCACTCAAAGAACAAGAAATCACACATACAACACTAATCACAATCACAATCACAATACCGAATCATCCAAGAGACCAGAATCATCAAAAAAATCATAAAATTTCGTAATAAGCCCCACCCCGTCCATCCTATGCTACCCCCAGTTATTCAATAACATACCGTCCCTCCCACGACATCTTATCATAGGGAAGGAGGTACCTTAAAAGTTCAGGTTCATGTTAGGTTCCTAGATCCCAAGGACCGGCCTTAATCGCCCAAATGCCCTCGTCATAAACATCGCAATCTATGAAAAGAATCCACAAAAAGACTCAAAAAATCTCAACATTCAAATCCCTTCACATCCTCCCTTCAACCCCCCTACACAAAAAAAAGGGTAAATAATAATATATAAGGAAAAAAACCCCCATCATCATAATCCAGTATCCTCTCCTCTCCTCTCTGCGGACTTAGGATCTAAGTAAGAGTCTTAAGCATAGCCCTAACCAACCTCGGCGGTGGCCCTATACCAAAAAAGAAAAATTAGCCACAAGTCCCCTTTCAAAAAAATCCTCAACGAGGACAAAAAACCCACCAAAGAAGGAGGTAACCAGAAACAATCGCATTCCCAATTCAAGGGAATTAGACATATTTCGGCACGCTAATGCTCATCCTACCTTTTTTATCCTTGACAATCCTCACGCCGCCCTCGGGCTCAGCAACCCTCTCGGTTCTCACAAGGGTTGTGACCTCCTCACCCTCATACCGGTCTCGATCGTAGACCACAAGGTCCGTCTCGGAGACTCGTTCGCCGCGGTACCTCTGTGCTCGCTGAAGTTCTCGATCGGCTCTTCGTTGAGCTTTGAGGGCCTCTTTTTCAGCTTCTAGCGCCTTGATCTCCGCCCTGATCGCACGCTCAGAGGTAACACGATGGCGCTCAGCGGGGAGAGCGAGAGCCAGGGGACCGATGGGGATAGGATCTGAGCGCTCGATATACTCCTCTTTCACGTATGTAGTCTTGTCGTGGTGCGGTTCCGCCGTGAGGATTATGGGGTCGTGGTGGTGAGTGTGGTGAGTGTGGTGGGTGCTGTGGGTGCTGTAGGAGCTGTGGGTAGGTGCTGGAGAGGGTTCACGGTGGATGTCTACAATCTTCGTTTCTTGGACGACTTCTGTGCCATGGACGGATGGGGCAGGGGGTGGGACCCAGCCTGCGGGTGGTGGAGGGGACGCCCAGGTTACTGGTGCAGGTGGGGGAGGTGCTGGGGCGGCGGGGACGGTGATTACTTCTGTGCGGTGTTCTTCGACTACTGTTCCAGCTTCTGAGCGACCGCCGGACATTTCGGGACCTTATTTGGATTGTTAGATTTTGTGAGAGGTAGAATTGTGAAAGTTAATTTACCTTTGTTATAGTCCTCGCTTAACTTGATGACCTCGTCAATGTTCTCTCGTCCAAGAGCTTTCTGAATGATGATAGTATCACCCTAAATGTATTAGTCAAAATCAAACAGGAGAAAGGATAAAAAAGCCAACCTCTACTATGAAAGGATAACCGAGATCAATAATGGCCTTCGTGTTAACCAGTCTGGCCGGCATTCTGGTCTTTCCCTTCTTCGGAAACTCACTCCGAACAGTTTCAAAGCTCTCATCACTGCTCGAAGAACCCTGACTGCTGCTTCGTACACTCCCTCTATGACTGTGACTAACTCGGCTTTCCCCTCTAGAAGAACGACTATCCTTACTTCTGCTCCTTCGTCGTCTTCGCCTGATGATTTCCCTCTCACGCACTCGCTCGGGGTAACCCCGGAAATCATCATCGCCATAGAAATCCGGCTCAGCAACTTTGATTTCATCGTAGTACTCCCGTTCATATCGTCTTGGTGGTGGCAGTGCCCTTGTTTTCGGCAGTGGAATAGGGGTCAAAGGAGGTGGTCTGAGTTCCTCTCTTCTCTCATATCGTGCTGGAGGACCATATTCTTCTCTGAACTCTTCCCGTTCCCATCGAGATGGTGGATCATATTCTTTGTGTCTTCTTGCTGGAGGACCGTATTCTTCATGATCGTTGAATCTGATCAAAGGCTTTCGGTCAAAGGTATCCAAACTAGACTGTCGTCGGAGAAAAGCTGGTCTGTTGCCTGCTCGTCTTGGTGGAGAACGTTCATATACCTCCCGTTCCTTTTCGATCGTAATGCTCTGACCTCGGTTTCTGCCCATCGGCCTCTCTCGTTCAAATCGTGGTTCCTCATCATGGTAGTGTCGTCTCTCATATTCATCCTCATACCCGCGAGGTCCTCTCCGCTCACGCTCATACACCTCATCAAAAGAACGATCTCGCGGTCCTCGAGGACCACCAAAACTGCTTCCATGGTCGTTTCGAGTCATCGAAACTCTCGTATCCCGCTCTTCGTAGCGCTCTCTCTCTCTTTCCCGGGCAAAACGTTCACGATCCCGTTCTTGGTTGAATCTCTCCGCATCCCAGCGTTCTGCACCGCGAGCACCTAGACCTAGGTCTCCTGCAGACGACCGATATGGATCTCTCGACATGTTGGCCGATGAAAAATAGATGAAATCTCTCGTGCCCGGTGTACAGCTCCAAAAGTGGACTGGACTGCCTCTGGCTTGTTTGCAGCTCAGGCAAGTTTATGCGTTGGACGTCTCGTCCGACCCCGCTATGCTATGCTACGTGGGCAATCAGTGTTCCTGGAAAGCGTGGAGGATGATGCAAAAAAGACGGGAGGCAGCTCATAAAACGGTCGGTTCGTGCCTGTTGGATTAATCGGGAGGTTGGCGATGGAAAGAGATTTAAACGACCGCGATGGAAAATGGAGTTGGAGAAGAATCGTGGTACGTGGTGGGATGGATGATGCTTGACGCAACAGGTTGTTGGGCAGCACCAGACCATGCATGGGGTTTCCAACCTTATGATTGGGCGCTGACTGCCCGAAGGTCGACTCCAGTCTCCTCGTGATGGCTTGACAATCACACGCTTGGATACGGCAGACTTGGGAGCCGAGGGGGCTCAGACTACTTGATAGACGGCATTATATATGGAGAGACGATCCTATGTTTTAAGATGACAACAATCTGAATTGTGAATGATCTTTTTCCTCCAAAGTTACGTTTCAACCACGGATCTTCCATTTCATGGGGTTGTCCAGGCTCCCCGCCCCTCGGATGACGCAGGTGACGTAGCCACCTTGGCACTCAGCATAAAACCGCCGCCCGGAAAAAAAGAAATATACTTCGAAGTGTACGGAGGCCATCCGTAAAACTCTATATTACACTTTGGCGAAAGATTCAGTCGGAAGGGTGGTTGGGCTTCAATACAGAAGTATAACCATGCTGATGATGGAGCTAGGTTACAACCTTCATGTAGAGAAGAGGAGCGGCCCGGGAATTGGTTCCTGGGACGAAAAAATGGGCTTGAAGTGGATGCTCAGAGCTCGAGGACAAATTAGAAGGTGCAGAGCTCCTGAAAATAAGACGATTTCGAAATCCTTCTACGACCCTCCGAGAACCCAATCTAATTTATCCGAGCTAGTCAACGTTCTAGCTCCCGGGTTGCCAGTTGGGACTCCATGCCGATCTAGCCCGTTCCTACCGAACCATATCCCAAACACCTAGCCATTCCATTTTCTGACCGCTATCATAGAAAAGCAAAAGCAATTTTCCCATCCAACTCCACGCTTTGCAAAAACCCCCGAAAATACAACCGCAGCCACTCAAGGACCATCCCAGACGACCGTAAAAGCACCAAGAACTACTTGCCTTTCCGACTCTTGATATAATCTCGTAATTGCTCCATCTTGGTGACGAAGAAGATCCGCTTGGCATCACTCTTCCATTCCAATACGCCAATCTCATCTGCATATTTCAGGCAAGCTTCGTATTCTTTCTGGTCCTCGAAATCTTTGAATAGGAACCCGGGAGTCGACTTCATTCGTTCGTTCTCAATTTGCCAAAGCCTGATTTGATCGACAACGGTTGGAGGCAGCACTGGACCGCCACCCTTTGCAGCTGCAGCTTTGAGAAGTTGCGTGTGTGCATGCGTGGAAAGATATGTGATGACTTGCTCGGATGTGATACCATGAGATATCGCCGCGTAAATCGACTGTCGAGTCACCCGGCCACATACCATATTAGGGTAACGAGTAGTGAGTTTGGTAAAAAGTGCAAGGACCGCAATCTGCAGAGGGGAGGAGGTATATGCGTAAAGACGATAATTCGTCTCAATAATAATGAAACCAGTGGTTCCAGCTCCAGCTGATAGGGCACTATCAAATCCAGCAGTGACACTTCGAAGAGCGCTGGCATCTGATGTGAGTGTCGTTGCTAGTCTTGTAGGAAAGAATTGATTCGGTGTTGGTTGGGGAATGTAGACCAGACCACAATCCACCAAATTTGGTAGCATCTTCCTCTCCGAGTCCTTTAGCGTTCGGATGTTGTAGGCGCGCCCAAGTTCCAATGAACCAAGCATGAAGACGAATGATAGAACTTCAACAGCGACCATTTCCAGCTATATGAGTTAGCATGCATGCGCCGTCTGGTGGAGGGGTAAACCAACGCGCTCAGCATTTTCGATCCACAATAACAGAAGTGTCCATACTTGCGCATTTACTTCTTGTAACAGAAATGAAAATCCGGCTTGTGTGATACCACCATATACACGTTTCCCTCGACTGACCAAGTTTCCGAGCTCGAGTAGCTCCTTGACACCACTACTGGGGGAAGGACCACCGTGGCGTGAGCCATCCGCAACATTGCTAACCACGTAATGTAATATCCCCTCCCATTGTGATCGCGCGTACTCGTCAAGAAAGGGTATATCCAAATTGGCAGTTCCGGCATCGCTGGAGGGTACACCAAAGGATTGGTGATCACCTCCGCCCGTAAGGGCCAGTCGCAACGATTTTCCGAAAGCTGGCGTCAATGATACGACTTGGGGCTCATCTCTGCTCGGCGCGGTGACCGTAATGATGTGGAGTCGCGAGAGTGTGGATAGGGCTTCGTCTCTCTGTCTTCCCGATTGTCAGCGTTGAAAGCAAAGCAATTCATGAAAGTGGTGGTGCCTTTTGCTATTCGGATGGACCCAAAGATCCAGATCTGTCAATGGAAATGGTTTATTCATATATAGTAGAGACATCACAAAGGTCTTTCCTGCACAATGTCAACAGGCCGTCTCAAATACGGAACAAGATCCTTGCCTAAATGCGGCAGCATGCGCCGAAAGATAGCCAAAGCAGTAGAGGGCTGCTTGTATAATTTCTTAAAGGTGGTACCTGGAAGTTTCTCCAGGTACTCGAAGGAAGCAAGATTCGAGACGGACATTTTGGTAGGACCTAGGAAGGCGTTTGATGTTCCGCAGGCTGAGGATGGGAGTTCCAAAGATTATCGTAGTATCATCATCTGGAAGTGATATAGGTGTAGGTGTGGGTGTAGGTGCCGTTCTTGAGTTTGCAATTATGGTATGAAAGGCTGCACTGTAGCCTGGCCCGGGCTCGGTCTGCAGCTGCATTGAGCTTTGGCCTAAATGCTTGGCATCTGGCATCTTTCAGTGGGGCAGGGGGGTCGGAACCTACAGGCGAGGCAAATTGGACGACGTACTCATACTGACCTTGACTCTACTATTGCAACCCCATCGCCCATAAGTCATCATGACAGCTCTCAGATTCGTTCGATCGGTATGTGAGAACGTTTCAATGCAGATTTCAGCTAATTTATGATCAGGTTTTGAAATCCTTTCAAGCAGAATCGGGTTTGGAACCCAGGTGAGGACATCACATTTCTCTACTTTTCACTCTTCACTCTGGAGTCAAGTCTGTCATTTTTCCTCAGATTGAAATCTGGAAATTGGTTTGATTTCAACCTGATCATCTTGGAAATTATTGTCAAGAATGATGCACCCTCCTATGTCTCTCAATAACCTTAACACTGGTCAAACCCGCCATTTCCGAACCTCAAATGTCTCCACGGAAATTACTGATTTTTTGTTTTCTTAGACTCTTTGGTGATAACGTGAGAGCTTTTGATAATTATTAGCTCTTCAATTGATATTGGTACAAAGTTGTCTGCAGTATCTAACGTCCGGTCTAGCTTCGAGTAACAGCTGCTGAACCGGGACGTGTGGAATTCGAGTTGGATGTGAAAAAAGAACACACCAATCGTCTCAACATTATGCACGGCGGTACGATTGCCAGTATGGGTAAGCAGTTGACCAGAAGCATGCCTACTGTAGACAAATTACTGATAGAATCTTAGTTGACTTGGGCGGCTCACTTGCGGTAGCATCGAGGGGGTACAGCCGTTCCTCGCTTCGGCCTTCATTTCCGAAAGCTGACTTCAAACAGCTTGTATGCGACAGGTGTATCAACCGACCTTAACGGTAGTGCTCAAAACAATAACCGAGGGGACCACAGGCTTACATTATTGGCAGTCAGTTACCTCAGCTCTGGAGGACAAATCGGAGATGTCTTGAAGGCAGTTGTTACATGCGATAAATTTGGAAAAACGCTTGCGTTTACTTCGATATATTTCACCAACAGCAAGGGGGAAATAGCTGCCAGAGGGAGTCACACAAAGTCCGTTTCACCTTTTCTTGACCGCTCCATGCTTCATGTCGGTTGAAATACTAACTGCGTGCATAGATATGTTTCACTAGCCTGGAAAGACCCAGACAATATTGTTGACCAGTTATCGCCACGAAAGCCAGCAGATGCAAAGCCAAAGCCATGATACAGATTCTGCCAAAGCAGAGAAGTGGCAAATTGCAATTATTTCCCTCGTGTAGCATAAGCAATACGATAAGACTTGCATAGGCATCATGCAATGAGAGCCTACAGCATTGCGCTGGTATATATTACCATAGTTGACTACGCCCTAATCTCAGGTACGCGAGGAGACATACCGGTTACTGATTAAATGGTGCTTGGAACGAAACCCATTTTCATAATTTGGTGCAACCAACTCACAGTGACAGAGAAACGGCTCGTATTTGAACGGTCAATGAAGTTGGCATCTAACAGATTCCGTTCTTCTGTTATGCTAGAGTCATTCAATTAATTACTGCAATGCTCTGGATCGGAACAGAGATCTAAAGCCAGATATTTCGGTATGACTACTTAAATCAATCCAGGGACTGAGATCAACGAAAGCTATCGCTGCCATTTTCATTATTGAATGCGAGCTTTGAGTGGGTACCACCCTCCCGGTAAGCCCTTTTACCTTCGGTGTGGTATTATACACCCACCCACAGCTCGTCCCTGATTTGTGTGATTGTTTTCTTGAGGTGACCCCCACAGGAACACAAAAATCCTTTTTTGGACCCTCCGAGAAAATACATTGCGGTATACTGATCATGGGATCTCGAAACGGTATGGGAGTTGTAACATGTTGCACTCAACGAGGATGGTTTTGCCAGGGTCGAGATTAAAAGACGAATTATCTTTCGCGAATCGCTTAGGCTGTGTGGTTGCATCCTGCATAAGATGGCGGCCGATGACTGGTTATTCCAAAGTTCAACGTGTGATTTCGAGTCTGATAGTGGGATGGATGTATCGTACTCCCGAGTTCTGTACTGCCTCGCAACATAGCGATGCAGAGTAAGTTTGCTATTTTGTAAGCCGCATTTTCTTTGTCTAACAAACACCATTAGGTATGTGAGAAGGCTCTATTCGCTTGGCAATCAGTCAATGCAAACCAGCCAGCTCCTATATGGAAGTACTCGAGTGCTTCCAGAATACCTTGGTATGATCTCCAACCATTTCCCCGCGGCCCCCCTTGACGCCACTAGTTGTTGATGGGGGCCTCCCGAAATGCGGGGGAGGAGCAAAGCCTGGAGACGGCCTTCCTTCGGCGCATTCAATATCGGAATGCTATTGATGAACGCCAGCCTTGTCACATTGCAGGAAGACTGGCCCAATAACTTCACCGACATAGCAAACCATCCAGGATCATTCATGAGCTTTGCGTGATGGGTGGCATTGGTGTCAACGCCGCAATGCAGCAGTCTGTCGCAATAGCCACAACCTAACGCTTTTACAGCCATCGACGATTGTTGATAGCGAGTTGTAGTTCAACCCTAGGAACCCTTCCGGTCCAGAAGATCATACGTTTCAATTACTTATTTGGAATTTCCCTGAAACCCATTGGTAACATGATGACCCGTAGCAAAGAGATCGAGTAGTTGATGGATGAGTAGCAAAGTCACAGCTCAAGCAATGACATCCCTTGAGCCTCGACTGCCACCAGACTAGGACACGACATATGTTGCACAAACTCAAGGGTCTAATGGACATGGGTTATAAGGTGCCGCATCTAACCTTGCGCGACACGATTGCCCTGTGGCCACATACTCCGAGTAAATCAGCCCAAAAGTATTGGTTTATATGCAGAGAGCTGCGAGGCACTTCCCAATTCTGCAACTCTGGCCATTTCTAGCTTCTAACCCTTCACTAACAAACGTGCTCAAAGAGAACATGAAGCTTTTTTTTTGTTCCATTGATTCCATTGAAACGACACTGGTAGGTGTGAGTGAATAGGGGCAGCTACGGCTATTGCGGGTGGACATACCCCCATAAAGAGCAAGTTGTACCGATCTGGTAGTGCCTGGCTCCCCAGAAACCCGTGACCCGTGACCTTCCCCAGCTTCCCCAGAACACATTCACCTCAATTTGGCCAATAAAATTGAGTTATTCCACTTGAATTGACGCTAGTCAGTCTGCTAGGCCTGACCGTTGCTGGAGTTAATTATTCCCCGCCTTGCCCCTCCTTCTCCCATCTTCTCAACCATCTCCCAGCCTAAACAACTCCAACAACTCCAACCACTCTACACCTCAACCATCTCCCTTCAACAACTTGTACGCTTTTACACAACCTGAGATCTAGGAGTCGCATCCTCCAATCAAGATGTACCGAGTTACCAACGTCTACGGCATTTGTGCGTTCGCCGCCATTGGTAAGTCAAGACCGACCATTCTACCCTCCTTGTGTAGTGCGACTTGACTTAATGAAAGCTGACCCCTTCAGGTGGTGGTCTTTTTGGCTTCGATATCTCCAGTATGTCTGGTGTATTGGGCACTCAAGCCTACAAGCAATACTTTGGCAATCCAACTTCCTATCGTCAAGGTGGGATTACCTGCGCTATGCCATTTGGCTCACTCGTCGGTGCTCTGAGTTCTTCTTTCATCGCTGATAGATACTCTCGACGAGCAAGCATTCAAATCGCATCTCTCTTTTGGATTCTTGGTTCTATGTAAGTTCCGCCTTCACTCCTGCTACATTTGATCAGACATTGACACGTGAGTAGTATTCAATGCGCCTCGGTCAATATGGGAATGTTGGTTGTAGGCCGTGTTATTGCTGGTCTCTGCGTTGGTATTGCCTCTGCTATCTGCCCTGTGAGTTTCTCCTTACGATTTACAACTAAATAAATTACTTATGATGAGAAAGGTTTATCAAGCCGAAATTGCACCAAAGGAAATCCGTGGTCGCGTCGTCTCATTGCAACAGTGGGCCATCACTTGGGGTATCTTGATTCAGTACTTCATCCAATATGGTGCAAGCTGGGTTGGCGGTGGCCCTGACGATGTCAATCAACCAACATCGGCCTTTAGAATCCCCTGGGGTGTCCAAATGGTTCCTGCTGTCCTCTTGTTCTTTGGCATGTTCTTCCTCCCAAGAACCCCACGTTGGCTCGCTTCCAAGGACCGCTGGGAGGAGGCGATTCAGGTGATGGCTGCACTTCATGGTGGAGGAGATGTCAACCACCCCAAGGTTTTGGCTGAATACAAGGAAATCGAGGAGGCTTTACGCTTTGAGCGCGAGGAGGCTATCTCCAGCTACAAGCAACTTATGGCTCCACGCATGTTAAAGCGTGTTCTCTTGGGAATGTCCATTCAGATGTGGTCTCAATTATGTGGAATGGTGAGTAATATCCCCTCTTTTACGCCGATATTTGAAGTCACCGGATCTCATTTCCCCGCAATTTCCCAAGGCATTAAATTTACTGTTCGGGTTGAATCGCAGCGAATGGCAAAGCTAATTTCTTCTTAGAACGTGATGATGTACTACGTTGTCTATATCATGGAAGGCGCAAACATCGCTTCTCCTCTCTTGACCGCCTCCATTCAGTATATCCTCAATGTACTACTTACCCTTCCCGCCATTCTATATCTCGATAAGTTTGGCCGTCGACCTTCCATGCTCATTGGTTCTTTCCTCATGATGGCCTATCTCTTTGTCGTCGGTGCTCTCCAGGCATCTTTTGGCCAAGCCAACACACCTGAACTCCAGGATAAGAACAACAAGGATATCTCTTGGATTATCCACGATCGTAAGGATGTTTCCAAAGCAATCGTTGCTATGACTTATCTTTTCGTCTGTACTTTTGCCACCACCTGGGGACCAACCTCGTGGACCTATCCTTCGGAGATCTTCCCAACCAAGATCCGAGCAAAGGCAGTTTCCCTCTCAACTGCTTCTAACTGGTAAGTGTCTTCTCCCAGTGTCACATTTTCTGCCACCCCTGGTACATAAGCTAATACAATTCAGGTTCTGGAACTGTATTCTTGCCTTTGCTGTCCCACCTCTTCTGTGGAACATCAACTGGAAGATGTACATGATTTTTGCAACTTTCAATGGTGCTGCCTTCATCCACATGTTCCTGACCGCTCCTGAGACCAAAGGAAAGACCCTCGAGGAGATGGACGATGTATTTGACTCTGGCATCCCAGCATGGAAGGGTGTTACCAAAGAATCCCGTCTCGATCGGTATCAACGAGAGATTGAAGCCGGTGAGCTCAAGGTCGATGTTGCCGAGGCTCTCGGTCATGGCCATGTTACTCATCATGAAGCCCCTCTTGCCACTTCCGAGAAGGCTGCGGATGAAGGAGTTGTTCACCATGATGTCCCAGCACGTGAACCTAATGAATAATTGTTCTCTTCGAAGATGCATACAATCGCGTTGGCGTTCTTCTCTTAAATCTTCACCTCTTCGGAACATGTTGGCCCTTCTCTCATTATTTTATTGGTCGACATGACAACTGTTTTTCATCAATCCATATGTAACGATCAATGACCCTCTTGTTTTTCAGTTGGCCTGGGGAAGGAAGATGAGATGCTTGGAGCGGATCGACAGAACAGCGGTTTGGTTTGTTTTTTTGATACCAATTTGCTTTTTACTTTTCCTTTCATTCTTTACTATTCACGTTGACGATATGGTAATTGGGTCACTGAGCCTGGGCGACCTTTAGGCCAGTGGGCTTGACTTGCATCAGAACTTGAACGATAGTGGGGTTTACTTCAATAACACTTTATCGCCAATGCTAAGGGTTTCTTGATGTAGGGGCTGTGGTTAATGATTGTGATGGACGGGACTTACTACATAGTAATGCATGTACTTCTTAAAATCGAATCGTGCTTTGCATCGTGATGTTGTTTCCTTTGTGTTGAGTGGTAAATTGTAGGCTGGCGATTTGAGAAGCGTGGACGACTTTATTCACGAAAGTAATGATTCCTTCCTTCGAGTGAAGAAGTACAGTAGCTCCCTACCTTCCTCTAGCCCCCCGCTTGAGTTTGCACTACAATCTCCTTACAATTCTCTTTCTATCCCATTCCCACTGCTCTTCCTACGGTCCTTTCAAAATTCCAATCCCACTTTCCAACTCTCCAACCCAGCCAGCTACTGTAGCCAACTGTCAGCCGCATGCGCGGGCTCCTGCCCGCATCCGCAATCCCTTCAACGTCACCAGAAATAGAAATTACCACGCACGCTCGCCAGTCTTTTCTTAATATGACCTCTTTTTTTTTGTTTTTGTTGCATGTCGCGTTCTTGAGTCGGACTTTCTTTCCGTGAGCTCCGTTGGAGTTGTGGCCGTTGCCGTTGCCTTTGTCCTGGTTGTGATCGGTTTTTTGCCACCTTCTTGTGTGTGTGTGGTGGATTGGTCGAAGTCCGGTTCCCCAGTTTGATTTGGGGAGGGGGGGTGGTAGGCGGAAACGGGAAGGGTATGAAGAGGGAGAGGATGGATGTAGATAGGTATGAGTTTCTTACTTGTGTTGTGGTTTTGAGTGGAGGTAGGTAGGTGGTTTAGTGGGCTACACTTTAGGGGATGTGGGTTGGAGGAAGATAGGTGGGTTGTAGGTGAAGAAGGATGTATAGGCAATTGGCGAGGAATAGATGTGGGTGATGTGGGTTTGTAAAGTGCTGATGTATCTGACTGGTAAGTCAAAAAACGCCTGGAAATGGGTAATGGTAGGTATTACCGTGATGCCAACTGAGAAGATTCTTTACGCGGATGCTGGATCGTCACATATCTACTTCTAAGGGCTTACGGTTTACTGCGTCACTAATCTCGATGGACTGCTCTATCTCTTTGTCTTCTGTCAGTCAGGAATTACTGTAACTTGTAAAGACAAAAAATGAGATGTCAGTTTTCGTACCTCACCAAAATATACGGGTATCATTGCCTTATTCAAGTCTGTTTTCTGAACACAGGATCAAGAGATTCCTGAAAAGCTCTGTGAGGGTTGGAATACTCGTACTTGGATTCATTAGGTAGTATCATGTATGTAGGAATTAAGGGGCGTGGGTTGTGTCAGTTATGAGTGTAGGTTGTGAGCGCTTGTATTTGTTTCAGCTGGAAATTACTGTATGGATTTCTGGCTATATTGATCGAGTTATTTAGTAAAGTACAAAAGACCCAAGAACCTATCCTAGAAAGAGGTAAAAGAGTACAGATTTTAGCAAATCGGCAAATCGGCGGGATGAAGCTTATATCGAATTCGACTATACCAACTGACTGAGCAAACACACTAACATTACACTTCCCGGTTATGCGATCCACGCATCCCATTCCACAACAGAGCTGTCAATTACTGGAACCTCGTCATCGTGAAGCACCTCATCCAGGGACACAGCTGAATTGCTGGAAGACATGACTGTTCCATCGGCACCAGGACGCATCCTGTCGTCTGGAACCTCATCTCCTATCTGGAGCGCCTGTGGTTCTTTATAGACATGGGATGAGAAAGATTGCTTCTCTCCCTGCGGATCACCGAAGAAAACCCCCTTCCAGTCCTCTGTTGGTCAAAAATATACCTCAGGAGTCTCATTGTACCACCTGGCAAATACTGCTTCTTGCTGACTGGTACTCAAGGTTGCAAAACATCGCATGAGCAGACTACTTTGCTGGTGTTTGAGCAAATTATGGAAGAATTGCGACAACAGATGCTCTTTACTCTCGACGGGAACTTCCTCGAAAAGTCGGGCATGCTGCCCTATCCGAAAATTAAGGCTTGGGCTGTTTTGGAGGTATGCTCCATCCCAATCTGGCTCCAACCACTCTCTTGTCGAACTATCTCATTCTACATGATCTCCCTCGCAGCGAACCAACCCATGAGCTTTCAATGTTTTCGATCTCCCCTGTATGAAATCGTCGACTTTGTTCCGACAGAGACTAATGAAATTGAGATGTATCTTTGGGTCTGAAAATTGTCCGATTTTCAGCTCCTCGTAGAGCTGCTCCATCTTCTCACGATGGTGTCTCCGTCCTTTCTCTACGAGACTGTGTCGCCGCATGACAACAATGATGGTTCTTTGGAGATTAATGGGCATTTGGAAACGTTTTCGAATTAGGCCCGACCAGCGGAATCCATTGACTACGACACATCGTTCGTGAAGACTTCGAACTGCTTCGTCCCATTCCGGTGTTGCACGATGATGGGTCTTTTCGAGTTCTGCTTCCTGATCATGGAGCCATTTTTGAATGGATTCGATGAGTCCAGCATTGCTATATATATTTATTGAGGGCTTCGTGTCCATGGCAGCCAAGTGTCGTGTCGCGTGATCGCTTCGCTTCTCTCCCCTTTAGTTCGTTCCAACGACTATGGAGGCCAATAAAGGTAAGAGTTGAATGCCAGATTTCTCATTGGGAATGCAAAGCTTACATGAATGGCAAGAAGTCGAATTGACGAAGTGATGGCTTTCGCATGTGTCCCAGTCGCCTATTCTGCTCCACCAAATTATACCAAGAAGAATTCCTCTCCTTTTCTCAAAAGAATTGAACAACTTGTACTTTTGAGAAGATAAAGATAAAAAAAAATTGCAAAAGAAAAGTGTCATAAGAATAAAAATCACCTCTACGCAGAAATGAACCAAGCAAACAGAATTTGAGCACCAAAACACGTGATTGATATGCAAAGCAATATACCTACTCTATCTCTCCAAGGCAGTCATTCCTCGACAGTATAAAAGCAGCAGCACCAGGTGGCAGTTGTTCTGCTGCATTATCTTGTTGCTGCTTTTGGATTTTACCATTGGGAGCCTCAGCTGGAATTGTGTCTCGGGAAACTGCAGAAATGGTAAGGCAGCAAAAGATTTCAGCTGGCATAAACGCCAATGAATTCTTGGATGGCCTACAAATCTCAAATCTTTGAAACCATTTGTATGTTGTGTGATGTTGGGTGATAGCGCCTCAGAGATGTGGGTGGCTGAAGGGCTCTTCATCAGGGCAGGGCTAGTATGGAATTGCCAATGGCAAATGCCAACAAATGAGAAATTACATCTTATGTTCGCATAGATTGAATAAGACATTTGAAAACAAGCGAAGAAGATATCGTTTCATAAGGAAAACATACAACAAAATGTTATGAATATTTTACTTGTAGTTCAGAACGTAGAGTTCCAATGCTGTATTCATTCAAAATATGGGTCCGGCTAATATTCGGTTCTATGTCAGCAAGGGGGACTTCCTACCAGTAGTTTGAGGTGACGACATCCATTTAATGCGACTTAGGGTCAAATTTCAGCTAACATATTCTTCAGCCTCAAATTTTTGAGGTTGACTGATGCACAATGATTTCCTTCACCAAATACAGGAATATTAGTTGAATGTCGTATATCCTTTCATACCTGCGCATCAGCAGAAACACCCTCTCCACTTCAATAGTTCAATTACAACATCCACGACTGATCTCTGTTATAATGGCTCCAAAACGCAGGAGATCCACGATGGATCCCACATCTGATCTGAAGGATGAATCAAAACCCCCGCTGGGCAGAAGGACTTCCACGCGCGGTAAGAAAGCTAGAATAATGACAAACCCAGATGAAAATCCAGATATCGTGGACGGAAAAGCTGCATTACGAGCAAGTCCAGATGTGGATGAGAAAGGAGAATCTCTCGATATGAAACGGGTTGCCCCGTTGAAGCAACTAATTACATCCGTGGCGAAACCTGTGTCGGCAGAAGAAGAGGATAGCGACTCGTCACTATCAGACGCCATATCGCCAGTCCCTACACCAGTTAAAAAGCGCCGAAAAGCACCGACTAAGAGCTCAGTATCTGCGAAGAAGGGATCGGATGAAATCAAAGCATTCAAAGCAGAGCAAGCAGCGAAGAAGGCGGCTGAATTGGCGAAGGTGAAGAAAGAGGACGACGAGGATGAATGGGATAAGCGACAAGATCCAGATGGGGATGAGATGGGTCCGATTGAAGAAGTGGATGTGTTGAAGAGAGAAGCTGGCCGGCCACCACCTGTAAACAGCGACTACTTGCCATTACCATGGAAAGGGCGATTAGGCTACGTTCGCTTCCCCTGATCCAGTCCTTTGCTTCCAATGGACAGGATATCGCTAACTCTGAACTCTGTTAGGCTTGCTTAAACACATATCTTCGATTTTCCAATCCTCCTATTTTTACGTCAAGAACTTGTCGTATGTCATCCATAGTGGAACATCGACATCCTCTCAAAGACCCATCACAACCGGAGCACGCCACCAAAAACAGACCTGACAAATCTCAACCGGCTTCCATTGAAAGAGGTCAGCGTTATGTGGAAGAAATTTGTCTGGCAAATGTGCGAGATCTTCCAAAAATGTTTCGCTGGAATGACAAATACGGAATAAAGTTCATGCGTCTAAGTTCGGAAATGTTTCCTTTCGCAAGCCATGCCGAATTTGGTTATAAACTTGCCCCATTCGCATCTGAGGTGCTGGCGGAAGCTGGGAAGGTTATTGCTGAGCTGGGCCACCGAGTCTCAACACATCCCGGACAATTTACCCAACTGGGCTCCCCAAGAGCCGAAGTAATTGCAAATTCAATTCGAGATCTTGAATATCACGATGAAATGCTTTCTCTTCTTGAGCTTCCAGAACAGATGAACCGAGATGCGGTTATGATCCTTCATTTGGGCGGGACGTTTGGAGATAAAGCCGCTACTCTTGATCGATTTCGGGAGAATTACAAGGGTCTCTTGCCATCTATCAAGATGCGAATTGTCCTTGAGAATGACGATGTCTCATGGTCTGTCCACGATCTCCTACCTCTTTGCGAAGAACTCAATATTCCACTGTGCCTAGACTTCCACCATCATAACATCATTTTCGATTCCACTCAGCTCCGCGAAGGAACTTTAGACATCATGTCTCTCTACCCACGCATCAAAGCAACATGGGACCGAAAAAGCATTCGCCAGAAGGTGCATTATAGCGAGCCTTGTCCGGAAGCAATCACCGGTAGACAGCGAAGAAAGCACAATCCAAGGCCGATCACGCTACCTCCTTGTCCTGACGACATGGATGTAATGATAGAAGCAAAGGACAAAGAACAAGCGGTTTTCGAGCTGATGCGCACTCTAAAGTTACCTGGTTGGAACACTTTCAACAACATAATCCCGTATGAGAGAGCAGACGATAACAGAACCCTCCCCAAAAAGGCCAAGAAGAAGAAAACTAAAAAGCAAATCGCAGCTGAAGTCGAAGAACATGGGAAAGAACTAAGCGAAGCAGAGGAACCACTGCAAGAAGAAGTTCCAGAAGCTGATGTCGGTATGGGAGGCCCAGAGAATCGCGTGTATTGGCCAACAGGAATGGAAGAATGGTTGCGCCCGAAGAAAAGGGAGGTGAAGAAGAAAAATGGTGTCGATGAAGAGGAGATGTTCAAAAACCCCACTCCCGCAAACTTTACAGCGCGGAAGGCGATTCAGGCGAGAGATGCAGCACCCTTGAGTGAAGAGGTTAAGACACAGCTTCAGGAAGCTAATTGCTTGAGGGATATCAAGAAGACTTTGGATGGTGTGAAGGCAGGAATGGCTGAGAACGAGAACGAAGAAGTTGATCTCAAGGAAACTGTGAAGAAACCAACACCTGCGCAGAAGAAAGGCGCGAGGAAACGGGCGCCTACGCCTAGCACTTCTGATACTGACGAGTTTTGAGGCATTTTAAAGATGATGGAATATCGCTCTGCCTCCCTATTGTAATGTGCAAATGTAATATTACAGTACATGATTTCTACTTGTTTATTTACATCATGTCACATGCTACCCCTATTTTACCGATTTGTTTACACTCGGCAATTCAACTCCTACACAAACATTGCCTCCATATTACCTTGTTACTAATTTGATTGTTCCACGTGCTCTACAATAACATTTCAAGTCGATTTTTGGAAAACAAATGCCTGTGTATTACTTAGATAGCAGTAGCACAATTCAACTCAAGGCTGCTGAACATGACACCATTCCTCCCATTTCTGTGGTAAACACCTCATCTCAATCTCTCATCCCAACACTAGAGTTAACTTGTAGAAACAACATCAACACAGCTGAATATCTATTATACCCCACATTAGCAGATCTCCCCTCAAACATAACAGATAAAACTCCAAAAAAGAATGCAACTCACGCCGCAGCAGCAGCCAAACTCTCAAAAGCCCTAGCCGTAGTTCCCAAAGCCACAACCCCATAAAACAGCACCACAAACCCACTAACAACCCCCAACTTCCCCTCCGTCCCGCAAGTCCATCCAACACCCAAAAAGGAACAATAAACATCCCCAGTCTCACAAAACAAATAACCGCATACGCAACGCGTTCGAACTTCCGGTCGTCGTACCAGATTGTGTGTCCATCTATGGCTAGCTCATCGTTTGGCAGACGACGGAAGATCTGTGGGAAGAATCCCGTGAGTTCCATGGTGTGGCGGAGGAGGTGGTATAGTGGGGAGCGGGTGGAGGGGTAGAGCGAGATGAGGTCGTCGGGTTATGTAGGTTGTTTCTTGGGGGGAGATGGCGTGGGGGGTGGAGGTTAGGTAGGAGGTTATGCTTGAGGTGTCGTGGGGGGAGGGGGAGGTGTGGGTGGAGAGGGTGCAGTATTCGTTTAGGAATTTATCTATGAACCCCTTTTTAGACGAGGGTTAATGACAAAGCTGTGATAGAAGTATATACCGTATCTTTCTAGAGCTACGCGAATCTTTTCGAGTAGCGTCTTTCGCTCTGTACTTGTGTCCCTGCGGAAAGAACCATTTTCAAAGTCTTTTGGTCCAGGTCGAGAGTAAAAGTTCTCGAGTAGATCCAATTGTTCCTCGAGGAGACTGATGTCATCTTGTAATCCCAAAATTACGCGAGCGTGCAAAGTAGAGAATTTCCGGAACGCAAAGAAGGCTTTATCTGATCCCACCCAACGGGAGAAGAGCCGATAGCCAATGTATTTCCAGGGTCGATCATCTGCGGATTCGGCCTCTGGTTGGATTGTTGATTGAGTTGGAATGATTCCGCCCTTCGAACCCGAAGCGCTGGACTGGCGCATTGTGAAGTGGAAGTATCGGGGATGTCATTACTGAAACGTAAAACCTTTTTGTTGAAAATATGTTGAAGAATACAATCTACTCACCTACCTACTGAATTGGGATACAGGTGGGCAACTGCAGCTGGCTGCCTTGAGCTTCTTGCAAGGATGAGAGCGCTTGCATGCATGTATATAACTAACCCCACCCCTTTTTCCTACTGTACCCCAACTGAACAAACAAATCCCAGCGTGCTTGAGTTGCAACGAAATGACACGAGGAAAACATATCGAAAAATCGGCAGCTAGAATTGCCCGCGCCAAACCCGCCAACGTCCGAAAAGCGGAAATTGCTCGAATGTGTGCACAACGACATGCAACAGCCGTAAGTGCTGGATACCGCCCATTGCCTCCTTCTATCTTCGCCCCCGAGGATTCCCATCCGTCATCGGAAGTCAGTTGGTGTTGTATAATCACGAAATGGCTCTTTGTCGCCCCCAACTTTGAGCCCTCACATTGGCTGGAAGGAGATACTTGGAAGGAATGGAAGACGAGTTCTAGTCTTTACAAGACACTTTATGGTATGTTGAAGACATTCCGATCATTTGGGGATTTACGCTAGGCGAGTGATAGAAGCGAGTGCCAAGGTGGAGGAATAGGGGGGAATCTGGGATGTAAGCACTCGTGACAGTAAATTCATCTCTTATTCAGTTGCGAATTCTTGCACTCCTTGATAGAAGGGAGATTTCTGAAATTCAAAGTGGATCAAATCGCAGCATATACAACAGATCCAGACGTATGTAGTAGATTCAATTATCACAAGCATCGCAAAACCCCAGCTGCCCTAGAATGATATCCTCTATGTTGGTATCTTACAACAAGTTCAGCGCCGGTCCGCCCACCAACCAGATTGACTTTTTGTTCGCCTAGATATAAAGAAATTGGCCGATCTTTCGGAATTCGACGCGAGTTCTTTCGAAACCGTTGGATATATTTACTCCGGTACCGTGTAACTCCATTCGTGTTCTTCGTCGCCATATTGTCTAGCCTCGATCCAGTTTTTCATCTTCGATGCAAGTTCTCCGGCTTCCTCTTCGGGGCGTAGTCCACAATCAACCATATCTCCTTTCCAGCAGATATTTCTAATAGGGCTAACTATTGCGGCAGTTCCTGCTCCGAACGCTTCTAATAATCTCCCTTCCTGTGCGGCCTCAGATAATTCCTTCATGGTGTATTTTCGTTCAAGCACCTTCCATCCTTCCGGTACCAGCTTTTCTCTGGCGAGAGAAAGGACACAGTCGCGTGTTACGCCCTCGAGGATAGTGCCGTCAAGAGGAGCGGTGATCAGTTCCTTTTGTCCAGTCTCCTTGTTCTTGATCGCAGCAAACATGTTCATGGTACCAACCTCGGTCACGAATTCCTCCTCACCAAAGAGCCAAAGATTTTGGTGGAATCCACGCTTGGCAGCCTCGAGTTGTGGGACGATACATGGAGCATAATTGGCACCAAGCTTTTTATCACCAACTCCTCCTGGCCATGCTCGGACGGCATAGTTTGTGGCTTCGAGCGAAATGGCTTTGAATCCGGTAGGATAGTATGGCCCAACAGGTGAGGCGATAACATAGAGGAGCGCAGAGCCAGGCGGTCCAACGCCAAGTGTCTTTTGTGTTCCGATCATTGTTGGTCTGAGGTACAACGAGTACCCTTTGGTCGAGGGGATAAATCGTTCTTCCATTTGCGAGAATTGAGAGATGAGCTTAATCATAGCGGCTTGGTCGAATGTGGGCAGAGCAATTCTCGCGGAAGACTTGTTCATACGTTCCATGTTCTTGGTTGGTCGGAAGAGTCGCACTTTGCCATTGCTATCCTTGTATGCCTTCATCCCCTCAAAACATTCGAATGCATAGTGGAAGACGCAACTGGCGGGGTCGAGAGAGAGGTTTTGGTAGGGAGTGATTCGAGGAGCCAACCATCCTTCTGATGCCGTCCATTCGATACTCAGCATATGATCTGTGGCGTTGCGGCAACTGGTTAGCTCTCTGTACGGGAATGGGAATGGTTGTGGTGAAGAGTGGGCGCACCTGTAAATGACCGCCCAAAGACCAATTCACTCGCTGGAATTAGCTCTTTAGGTGCTTTGGTCTTGGTGATGGTCAATTTCGAGGGATCGATATCCTGAATCTTGGCCGTAGAAGCTGCGTTGGCGTGGATGCTGTATGACCGTGAGGGTTCCTGCCATGCTGCCAGAAGTCTTGAGATTGGTTGCTTCGCGAGCGAGCGTTGCGGTCGAAATTGACGGAGCATCTTGACGATTGTACCCGCAAAAGTCGAGGAAGAGGCGAAGAGCCAAAGAGGATCCAATTGAAGGGTTTGCGGTGTCAATTGGATCTCTGATATGGAGAAATGTATGACTCAAAGGGCGCAATGCGCATTGCACGTATCGTAGGGCATATGGGTACTGATTCACGTATGGAGGTACGAGTACTGATATATTTTGTGTACCTGGCTGCCGACATCGGCCCGCCTTTGAACGTCACACTAGGTCACACCACCTGGACTGGGCAGTGGAGGTCAGGTACGCGCAGGAAGTCTCTTTTTGGGTGGACGAGGCTGATCTTTCGAGGCTGTGGCGGCCAGTTTGTACGTATTCTCAGCGCCAACCAATCAGTTCATTACCATCATCTTTGGGACACCTTTGGAGAATCCTCCTGTCCAACCCCAAACCAACAACCCCTTTCTTCTCTACCTCGCCAACCCCATCGCATGACCGTGCAAAGACCCGTATCGAGTTCCCATGCCACAAGAGACATTGCGACCCACGAGGAGGCAGATTGAGAGGTGGCCAAAATGTTCAGCTCAGCGCTGAAGTCGTTTACTTCTAATATCAATTCCAACTACAGCATCTCCTCCAATCCTACATCTACAGCTGGTCCCTGGAAGATATTCGATGCAAAGAAAAAATCCACTGGGAAGGCGGTTTCAGTCTTTGTGCTGGATCGCAAGTCTTTAGACTCAAATTCTGGCTCATTGGGACGGTCCGGTTCAGCCTCAATAAAGAAATCCGTTGAAGAGGTCGTGGAACGGCTGAAAAAGGAAGCTTCTTCCCTCGCGAGATTGCGCCATCCCAATATTTTGGAACTGGTCGAGCCTGTGGAAGAGACAAGAAATGGAGGTTTGCAGTACGCAACAGAACCAGTGACGGCCTCCCTGTCAGGCTTGCTTCTGGAAAAAGACGAACAAGAGAGAGGAGCCGGTTCGCGATCAAGTCGATATGTGACCGAAGACTCAGAAGGAGGTCGACGACGGCGAGAGCTGGAGCTTGATGAATTGGAAATACAAAAAGGGCTACTACAAGTCAGCAAGGCTTTAGAATTTCTTCATGATAATGCAGGCCTGGTACATGGAAATTTGACGCCTGATGCAGTCTTTGTGAATGCTAAGGTTGGAATCCCCAGAAAAGACACTATCTGGAAGTTGGCTGATGAATTGTAGTCGGATTGGAAGATTAGTGGTCTTGCCTTCTCAAGTCCTCCTGACAACTCGACAAAACCCACCTCTGTGCAACCCATAAATCTTTCAGAGGCCTTGAATGCTGACCCACATCTTCCCCGCTCTGTACAAATGAACCTCGATTATTGCTCTCCAGATTTTGTTCTAGATTCGAACATGAACGTTGCAGCAGACATGTTTTCTATGGGACTACTGATCATTGCCCTTTACAACTCTCCCCACACCTCTCCTATGAAAACGAATTCCAGCATATCAACATATCGAAAGCTTTTTACATCTCAATCCACGATTCCAACGTCCAGCAATAACTTTCTTTCGTCCCGTCCCGTCCCTAAAGACCTGACTTCTTCGGTATTACCACGCCTTATAACCAGGCGTCCAGCACAACGAATGACAGCGAAGGAATTCCAAGAAAGTGCTTATTTTGACAATATTTTAATGTCAACCATTCGGTTTTTAGATGCCCTCCCAGCTAAGACTCCTACGGAAAAGGCGCAATTTATGCGTGGTCTTTCGAGAGTGCTACCTTCATTCCCAAAGTCTGTACTTGATAAAAAGCTTCTTCCGGCGTTGTTAGAAGAAATGAAAGACAGGGAACTGCTGTCTCTTATATTACAAAATATTTTCAAGATCATTGAACTGTTGCCATCTGGACGTCGACCTTTTACTGAGAAAATTATGCCGAGGTTGAAAGAGATATTTATATCGCCAAATGCTACCCCCAAGGCACCGACTGAGCGTGATCCGGCGAAGGAGGCTGGCTTGATGGTATTGCTAGATCATATCAATGACATATCTGGGAATTGCTCCGCCAAGGAATTCAAAGACAGTAAGTTGCTCACGCCCTAGGAATTTACGTTTGCTCACTTCTTAGACATTCTTCCTATTATACACTTGGCAATCGAGTCACCTACCCATACCATCGTTGACGCTGCATTGAGAAGTCTACCAGTCGTGTTACCAGTTCTTGATTTCTCGACAATCAAGAATGACCTTTTCCCTGTAATTGCCTCTGTTTTTACCAAGACAAGCAGTTTAGGTATCAAGGTCCGTGGATTAGAAGCATTCGTTATTCTCTGCGGAGGCTCGAATGATCCCGCAGCTAGTAATGATGGTTTGGATGGCATCATGAATTCCAGCGCCAGTAAGAAAAGTTCATCTACAGCATTGGACAAATATACAATGCAGGAGAAAATTGTACCGCTCATCCGAGCCATCAAAACAAAAGAACCAGCTGTAGCGATGGCATCACTCAATGTTCTTCGACAGGTAGGAGGTGTTGCAGACGCAGAATTTGTGGCCATGGACATACTTCCTATCCTGTGGACCATGAGTTTGGGACCTTTACTTGATCTAAAGCAGTTTCAAGCGTTTATTGAACTCATTAAGAGTCTCTCAACGAGAGTTGAAACCGAACAGACAAAGAAGCTACAGGAACTTGCAGGCACAAACGGAAATGTCCAGCGAAGTGACGATTTCATGTCATTCGGTGCACCGAACGCATTTCCCTCTAGTAACGGTGCCTCCGACGGCGGTGAGATCGACTTCGAACGTCTTGTCAAGGGGAATAATGCAACGATCGGGTCACCAAATCCATTAGATTCGGGTTGGGAAAATGGTCCACTAAGCGCATCTGCCACAACCCAACCACCAGTACAATCCAAAGCAGCGGCATTTTCTTGGTCAACTCCCAGTCCAACGACCACCACATCTTTCTCTGGAAACAACATGGGCAGTCTTCAACGACCCCCCGGCCCTACTTCAAGAACTGTCATACCGGATCTATCACGCTTTGATTCTCTCACACCCACTTCGACTCAATTTTCTCAGCCTCTCCAACCCCAGAACAGTTTCAGCACGCCCTTACAGCCCACGACGAGTAATTACAGTCACTTTGTAAATCCTCAACCTGCCAGTACCTTCCAAGCTGCACCAACTACTGTGAATTGGGAAGCCGCGGCATCTAATCCTTGGGCCAGCAATACCGCCACCAAGGCAAGCAATATGGGCTCATCTATAGGAAACCTAGGAAGCTCCATGTCAAACATGTCTATGAATCAACAGAGACCAACCTTGAGTTCTCCGTCTTCTTTCTCATTGCCACCACCTCCAGGGAATACTCTCTACGGTATGCAGCAGAGTAAAACCTCCTCATTTCCACCGCCACCAACCTTCAGTGCACCTCGGCACTCGAATTTAGCTAAGCCCAACCCGCAAAAGTCTGGACTAGATGTATACGAAAGTTTGATATGAATACATGAACATGTATGGGAAGGAAAATAGAGGTGTTATGGCGCTTTTGGTGTTCATTTGTGGGAACTGGGTTTCAGGGACTGGATTTCAAAGTACTGATGAGACGAGTTGTTGAATGCGAATACCAAAGATTACTCTTCCTTGTTGGCCCTGTTTACGTACGTTTCCTGTTGCCCAATGTGTGGGGAGGTAAGTCAAAACAAGAGTAAGTCGTGGTGACATATCGTTCTGTCTGCAACATTCTGCCCTGGTTTATTAATACTAGGATGTATTAACGTGCTGGTTGACTTTTTACATGGTTGTGAGTGCCTACATTTACCTAGATGGTTGCGGTTTCCGTATTACAGATCGTTCCTTCTAAATGTAAACGGAAGTCAAGACCGAACCACCTGCACATCCTCAGGATTCGGTCGTCAGAGCTCAAACACTTCATCTAGACAACACTTTCATTCGTTTTTCAATCCCATACCATATTACTTTGCATCCTTAGCCTCAACATAATGGGCGACTGCAGCCATGACGAGTCGCTTGCAATCTTACAACAACTTCAGGAGGCGTCCACCACTCAACCCGCCCTTCCTCATTTTTACGAGAATCTACCAGCGATACCGATTCCCAAGCCAACACCAGAGGAAAATGCATTCCTTCATCACGATATCGGCGAGAAAGTTGGCACAGCCTGGAACCTATTGAACGCGATAGTCATTCGACATGAACCAGAAATTCGCTCTATATGGGACAAAAAGTCGGCCAAACGCCGCTTCGCCATACTTTTAGAAGCATGGGGTGGCATCATGCCCGAAATGTACAGACCTGATTTCAGGTGGTTCCTCTCGACGGTTGCAGAAAATGGGAACCTTGTATCAGACACGGACATTGACCCCGAAGAAGTTTTGTTCCTGAAAAGGTCCAAGAAACACACAGCTCTCATTTTCCCGTACATTAACCTAGAACACTTGGTCGAGAAGAAGGCTCTGCCGTTGTTCATAAATTCTCGAGGCCGTGCAGGTCCAAACGAATTCTTGCAGTTCAATGTTGAAGCAACAAATCTTGCGAGAGCATGCGGGGAATTGCGAGCTCCCAATCTCCACGGGTTTCGTATCGACATCGACAATGTGGAGAACTACGCAGAAATTGTACCGTCCAGCTCTACCTTCCACAATTTCAATCTGACGGCCGGCGAAACACTACTGGCTATGGAAATACATGATCATGTCATGAGATTTGTCACCAAGTGCTGCCTGCTAATCCTGAATCGAACCGACCCGCAAGATCTGATGGACGCACCTATTCTACCAGATGTTCCAATTCCCCGAAAATTGCGATGGGCAGACGTTTCCTCTATAAATTGGGAGGCCCCATTTGTCAAACCAATGGAATTCAATCACCATATGATAAAAGATTACTTGCTTGTCAGGAGATCCGCTGCTGAAGATCATATATGGGATTTGCGGGAGAATCCAGGATACTTTGCAGCCACCGTCACAGAGTGGAGTGAGCATTTAAAAGAACGAATGAACTTTCCCGATGACCCAGACATACTCGAGACAGGAACACCAAAATTCTGGAACGCCGTTATAATGGAAGTCATCTCGCACGCAGTCGAATCACTTGTCGCCTGGCATCAATTGTATATACATTTCAGTCTCATACATGAGCGTGTTACGAAGGACGACCCTCTCGCACTCTCATGGTTTCGCCAACTACCTGAGGACTGTGCTGAGAAATTACATATCTTCGAACTCATGTAAGCATTTCCATGGTCATTATAGTTGTGAATGCCTTCTTATTATTTATCAATAGGCTAGGAAAAATATCGGAAAGGCTAATGGGTACTTTGTGGCGCGGATGGCTTGTTTCCCCATACAATCGAGAGATATATCGTACGGCATTAGGTCCCCATACGAGACCGACGATGGAAAATTACAAACTGAACGGTAATCTTGATATCATCTACCCTCCGCCAGGCGTCACCAACTTGTTCAAAGTAATGAGCTCAGCAAAACACAGAGAGCCAAATCTATTGACCTTAACCAGACTTATGCACCCGCTTGGCAGAAATGTCTTTGGTTACAGAAACCTAGTTGATGACATGGGAATACAGTTCATCACCAACCCAATGGAGAATTTACGGGTGTCGCCGTGGTGCAAAAGAATGTTCACAGATCTAGGTCTCATTTCTACGCTTAAGAAAGAAGTCGACAAACACCGAACTTTTTGTCTTCAGACTCCATTCCTGAGCCGCAAGAATGGGATATATATAAGGAGCGCTGCTGCTCAATCTCTATTACTTTTGAAAGAGATGAGACACAAGCATAGGCTTTATGAACGACTCGCGGATCTCGGTACTCCAATACAGGGCAGATTTGATTATCCTATGAACAAACCACGAACCGCGGAGGTCGTCAAAAGGATGCAGCAGTCGGAAAGGAACTTGCAAGCTTTTTGGAAAAAAGCGGACGATGAATACAAAGAGATTGCAGGAAGTTATCCGCTAGCTGAGATGGGCGGGATTCTAGAGTTTAATTCCAGGCAAATACATAGTAAGCCCAAGCGCTCATTTCTCCCTTTTCTTGGATTACAATGGATCACTCACACTTTATGATCTAGGAACGCCAGATTGGGTGGAACCTGGGAAAGAAGAGTTTCCCAAGGAGGTTTGCAAAAAGAAAGTGTCGTCAGCTGAGGAAATGGCCGAGAAAGGCGTGTCTAAGAAGAGAAGAAAGAGGAAAAGCGGAAGGAATTCTCAGAAGACCCTGGAAGAAAAGCCATCCGACGATCTTGGAATGGAGATGGGATCAGACCAAGTTAACTGCCATCCGGAAATGAGATGTGAAAAGGAAACCAACCTTGGAAGCGACAATATCAAGCCGTCAGCTGACAACGTGGGTGCTGAAATAGAACCTGTTTCTTTTTCAGAGAGTTCTAAAGGCCCGCAAGAAAATCCAGTTTCTCGGACAGAAAATGACACCACCCAAATTTCATCTCCAGCAAATGGGAATGAGATAAGTCCCCAAACCGAACAAATTCCAGTTGGTCCGATGGAAGAAGCGTCTATAGACAAGAATGAACAAACTCTAGAGAGGCAAGCCAAAAGTACCATTGCAGATCCCGCGCTCCAATCGGAAGCAAAATCGAGTATCGTGCAAGTAGACAACAGTATAGAGAAGGAGACAAAAATTGGGACTGAAATCACTGCAACATTACCATATGATGAGCCAAAGACATTCTCGGTCACGATATCCGCGAATGATGCTTTTACTCCATCAAATGGTCGGGAAGTTGATCCTAAGACAGAGTCTCAATCTGTCTGCGTGGAAGCTGAAGCTGTGGAGGGTAACGAAACAGAAGCAACTAAAGAGGAAACCACAGAAGTTGACCATTCTGTTCCTTCCCGCAATATTCACTGCGAAAGCTCGCCTCTTTCTCATATTGACGACCAACCCAGCGACACTGCTCAGACAGAGGATCAGCAAATAATGCCTCTCAGTAAAGTGGCCCGCGGTCGCTCACTGAGTGCTGGAAGTCAACCAGAAGCTGCCATTGCCGTACAAACCAGCGACATTCTTAAGATAGAGGACGAATTCCTGAGACCCCCCAGCAATCCCTTCCATGGCCCCTCACCAGAATCTTGCACCGAAGAAAACAATGATGAATTCATATGCAGCGACAGAGAGCAAGATAATGAACCATCCATTAATCTGATCCGTCAACACTCGCCCGTTTCCCTGAGTGATGTAAAGAGCTACACAGAAGCTCAACCCATTGACACCCGGACAGAGAACGCACACCCTAGGAATATGGTCCGTGAATGCTCAGCGGGTTCTTGTAGCGAACCAGAAAGTTGTGTTGATGTCCAGCCCAGCGATACTCAGGAAGGTGACGAGTATCCTCGCCGCCTGCTTCAGGAAAGCCTACCCGATTCTCCTGGTAAACTGCAGAACTCTTTTGACATGCTACCCGGCAATATTAAAGAGGAAGATAAACATTCCAGCAATGTGCTTCTTGACCACTCCATTCATTCTCCCAATGAATCTCAAGGTGATTTTGAAAATCCACCCAACATTATCCGCCAGAGAGAAAGCGAGAATCGGAAACCCGAATGCACCATCGAACCATTCCGTACTGGTTTCCCGGTCATGATGAGTGGAGCAATATATTCTGACCGTCCGCTTACAGCCGAAAGTTTCACTCAGATCCCAGATTCTGAGTATCGGAGAGACGTTTGTCCGCGACGAGCTGCACTAGATTCTCTTATTACAGATAAGATCCCCGTGGAAGGTTCGCGGAACCAGGTTGGCAAAAAAACTGATGGCATTGGTGGAATTGGTTGTCTTGTCAATACCCAATCGGAAAAAAACGGCGCAACTATATGGCCATCAATCGTGAGTAGTTCCATGGTGTCTCTGAACTCGGAATCCGAGCAAGAGGTATGCGTACCAGAAATGCCACTGGAAGGCTCTACGATTAACAATTCCGAGCTCGCCAAACCGTCGTCGCCAGCAGCCTCGATAAGCCCAAATCGCCTTGCTCAAGTTCATCAAACGTCAAAGGTTGCTCATGCAAAACCACAAGAGGCTCAGACGAAGTGCAGCGATGAGTCTGATACTTTTCGTATTTCAGTAAATGGACTCTTCGAAGAAAATACCACAAGTGATACTGAGGAGTGGTGGTCAAGAGCGATAGCCGCACACAATGGATCCGATCCTTTCGCTAACTTCCTAGAATATCCCTATCGTGTTTCAGGGAGACCGAGAGGAGCCTCGGTGCCAGCATTGTTCAATGTTGTCGATGATTATGAAGGAAGTTGGTATGAAATCGTTGAGAACTTACCAGTACGAAGGTTTTCTGACTCCACGCCGAAGAATGATTACATGGTTGAAGGAATTGAAGACCCATCTAGCCCAGCTGCTGAATGGAAGTATGCTGGGTATGTATTTGAGGGGCAAACACTTGTTGAGTCGACGGACATTGAAAGACGAGAGGGCCCTCTTATCGCTCGTTCTTCCTCCAGCAGATCACGTAGCAGATCGAGTTCCACGGATAGTGATGTATCTCGGTTAAATTTGAACGAAACGGCTCAAACAACAGATTTATCAACAAGCCCTACAGTGAGCTGGTTTGGATCACCAGATCTTGAAAAGCTCGTACCTGCTTCGAGTGAGCTTGCAACTCTATATGAAGAAATCAGGGTACTCAAACAGGAATATCAGATAGCTCTTGCGCATGAAAGGGCGCAAGAAGCCATGGAAGAGCTGGCAGAATCGGAGGACCGAAACGACTCCATGGAAAGTGGTACAGCAAATTCCAAAGTTGAAGAACAGGCAAATACCAGTACCGATGACCATGGAAGCTCGACTGATAATCACGAGACCACCAATGATACACCAGATTCTTCTACCTTTGGAGACTTGACCCACGTTGACGATTCGAAAAAAAAAAAGATTCAACCTTTGATAGCAGTGCCATGGAATTTGGTGGGCGTGCGGAGAGGGAAAAGGATTCCGGCGATCAAATGGCCAACCAAGACTGACGTTCTGGAAAACAATCCCTTTAGACAGCTCCAAGAGTTGGAACCGGAGACTGAAGAAGTCGCCATGGACGAGGGATTGCCTGAAAATGAAATGGACTCGAAATCTATGGCCCAACATTCCAAATGTCTTGCTACGAATAATTCAGTTAATTGCACCGATGCTGAACCTGTTCAAAGTATGAGTTCTGAGGCGGAACCTGCTTCGAATGCTGTAGAAGAGGAAGATGTCTTTTTTGATAGTAACGAGTCCTTCCCAGGTGACGACGAAGTTGATCGAGATGCAAACGAAAATGAGCGTATTAATCCAACATGCAATCATGGTAACGACGCTCCTCCGGGTGCTTCAGAAAACGGCCACAAACCAAATGTTCAGCATGACACGATTTTCACTGTGGAAGAAACTAGTATCAATGAAGCGACGGATAAAATGGAAGTAAAGCTGGATTGTCAGGAATCCTCCAAGAAAAAGCCTGGAAAGTCCTCCAAGAAATCGGGTTCTGCCAAGAAGAAATCTGGCAAAGCTTTGAAGAACAAATCAGCAGAGGAATTCGATGAGATCTTAAACGAGCTCAAAGAAACTGCCACGGGCATCGACAAAAAACACACTGCCGAAAAGCAAAAATCCCAGAAAAAGGACAAGAAACCCGACTACGAGATCTTCTATGTGACCAAGACATCCCATAAAGTCTTGACCGCCCTGTACCACGAGCCAGTCCAAAACCAACCTCTGCCCTCATTCACATGGACCGAATTCTTGTTCGCAATGGAGGAGATAGGATTCACGCCACGGAGTGAGTATGCGACTCTTTGGCACTTTTGTCTTGCAGATGTTGGCCTCGGCATGCAGATTCATCAGCCCCATGGAGGGATGGACAAGAAGGTGCCGTTTGAGCAGGCGAGGATTATTGGAAGGAGGTTGACTCGGCAGTATGGGCATGTCAAGGATTCTTTTCGTAGGTTTGAAGAATGTGACGAGTAGATTGCTGTTTTTCAATCGAGGACAGGGGGGTTGGGAATCGTTGAGGGAAGGGGGTTGGTGAAGTGGTTTGTTGGTTTCTTTGGATTTTTGTGAGGATGGTTTGTATGTATAAGGGCTTGGAGGTAATAGCGGTATGGTTGGAGTGGGATGTATTTACCTAGTTGTAGGGTAATTAGCGGTTAGAATAGAGATTAATAATGATAATTTCAGCCGGGTTTGACTATTCGCTAGTATGAGACCATTCAACAGTGTAAGTACAGCTATTCCTGTACTATAGATATAATTCCGTCAATTAGGCAGTTGGCAAAGATGACGATTTGTCTTATACCCGGGTGTTAATTCACTGACCACCGGAACAATCTGAACTAAGTATTTCCAACGTTGGTTTACTGTCGATTCATGATATGCTATCGCTTCTGCATTTTCCGTGGAAAAAGATTGTTTGTTACATGAAAACTCGATGGACGTATGATGGAGGTACTGTAACGTAAAACTTTCATTATCCTGAAAAGAGTATATAGGTTACGTAAGAGCCCCTGAGAGTGTGCTTCCTGTTGAGCACGCGGAGAAAAAATCAGCTTCAGATCCAAGATCTTTGCACCTTGGTTCTTTTAGTACTTGGGTACTGATGCTACTTGTATGGCGCTTGTAGGACTTTTACTAGTTCAGTGAATGGCTTACTATATATGGGTTCCCTCTGGGGACTCGAAAGCTGGCAATACCGGTTGAGGACGACGTAGTTGGATTTTAACTAATTGAGTATAGAAAAGTGGGGATGTCCCACACTTTGATGGTACAAAGTTCCGTCTTTTCGGCCACAACTCCCACACGGGTTGGTCCCATATACTACAATAAAACGTGGCATACGGTAGTACGATGTATAATCTGAAGGTTAAAGGGGGGCAATGGCCTCTAGACTAATTAGGCAGGTGAGTTAAAGTGAACGGACTCAATCATCGGTACACTTCTTGTTAGCCTTGCTTTCCCATCAGTTAATGACTGTCTTGGAAGTCGTCCTAGGTGAAAAATGAATTTACATATCTATTCCCTATCACTCCTCGAAAGGTAAAGATTGTACAAATGTATTCGCCGTAACACCATGACCTTAAGAATTCCCTGTGAATGACAACTCTCGTAAATTACAGCTTCGAACCATTTCAAAGCTTGACTTTCCTAATACCAAAGCTTGCAACGAACCCCAAGAATGCAACTACAGCATAGAAGATCCACATGTCGTTGAAGGCGGTGGTCATAACCGTACGGACAGCCTTTTGCTGTTCATGGTTGATCCTAGAACTGATTGCCGCCGTTGAAATTGCGTTTCCAGAACTCAGTGAGCTGATGTAACTCGCTGGCAAACCTGAAACTTGAAGGATATCTGCCTGTCTCCGGATCTGGCTCTGGAATATGACCTGTCCGAAAATAACACTCATTGTTTGACTCAGAGTTTTGATGAACTGGAAAGCGGATGTACCGGCTGCAACATCTGCCTCGTCAATTTGAGCATGGAAGGCTATCAGGGGTGCTTGGTAGGTAAGTCCAAGCCCAATTGCTATCAGGACCTCAGTGAGAATGATCAATGGCCAGTCGGCATGAGGCTGAAGATGTATGAATTGTCCAGTGCTGAGAAACAATGCCGCGGCTCCGACCTGAATCAGGAGTTTATATTTTCCAGTTCGCCTAAACACGTACCCAACAAATATGAAGAATAGTGCGAGAACTGCCGTGGTTGGGAGGAAGTAGACGCCTGACATAATCGGAGATACATTCAGGACGATCTGAAAGTACAACGGGAGGAAGTAAGTGCAACCAGTCGTGATAAAGGACTGTGATATATTCACTCCTAGGGTGGATATGGTGGAAATTCTGTTTGAAAACTTCAGTGGCATGAGCGGCGGCTTGGCAATCTTCCATTCCACCACGACGAAAAACACGAATCCAAGAGCCCCAAATGTACTCAGAAGAATAACCAAGAGTGAGTTCCAGGGGGCTGAAGTACCTCCCATCTGTAGGCCGATCAGAAGCATGAGAGTTGCACCAACAATGGTGATGCTGCCAAGCCAATCCACTCTTTTGAGTCCTTCCAGGATAGGTATTTTAGGCGAGTCGAGCTTGAGAAAGAAGACCAGGACTACGAATGACATAACATTGAAAGGCACTGAATTCGAGTTAGTCTTCCTGTATCGTATTTTATGATACAGACTCACCGAGAATCCAAAAGCAACATCTCCAACTGGCTTTTTCGGAAAGCACTCCCCGTATGGTGTGTCCTGACGCGGAAGCCACGGCTGTCACTGCTCCAACAACACCAAAGTACAGTCCAAGTTCCCTTGTTCCAATATCAGTGAGGGTTATCACTTATTTTGTGCTGAAAATGGTACTAACCTCACAGAAAATAAATCTCCGACACAGATATTGGCCAAGACAACTAAGCCTCCGCCGCCAATGCCTTGAACAGCACGTCCTCCCAGCAATATCGCGATATTCTTTGAAAGAGCTCCAATCACGGTACCAATAAAGAATATTGCGCTAGTAATAATTAAGATCACTCTCCGGCCAAAAACGGTGCTGATATTCGCCCAAAAAGGAACGACAACACCAAAACCCAACATGTAAGCAGAACCGATCCATGCAAATCCCGCGTCGGAAATATCGAAGTCCTTGGCAATCGTTGGCAGCGTATTTGTCATTATGAATGTATCCAGAGAGACAGCGAATACTGTAGCACATAAAGCAAACATGATGATTTTGTGTCGAAGTAGGGGAGTTCGGGGGTCTGTCGTTTTCACTTCATTGGACTCAAGTTCCGGCATAAACGTAACGGATCTTTTTGTTTTGAGATCTCTTCCATCATCAGATGCGGAAGAGTGACTCTGTACTGGAATCTTCTCCCTCATATCAACCTCAGTTGACATAGGAGAAACTCGTGGTGTAGATCCCGGTTCTGAGATCCCGGATTTGGTCGACATGGCCGAAATTTGAATTGATGAAACTTGGTCGGACTTTACTGATTTCGTAGACATGATTATTTGTTGATCCTATATTGATCTGGGAGTGGCTTGCGGAAATTATTTACAACTGTTGGTTTTGTTGGGACGTAAACACGCGGGAGCGTTCAAATTTGTGGGGAATCTCCATGAGGGTTCGTTCCCTTTTCAGCACAGCCCGCTCAGATTTTTCGTACAGTACATACTACTCTATCACCATACATCAAGAGGCCTAAAGTCACGCAGTGATTCTCACGTAGGTAGTACGACAATTACTGGTTGTCAAGCTCAGTTATCTTAGGAGCTTGCTATGACCTTCACTTTAAGCAACGATCGTATCCTGCAAAGACAAGGAAGAAGATTACCAGAAAAATGCTGAGGAGTTTGGCGAAAACATGTGGATTGCATGGAAAATATATCAGCAATGAAATTCTTTTCCTCTTTCGTCTATTGGGGTTGGACGACGCATTTTATCCAACAACACTGTAACGTAAGCACTCGACACAACAGCCAGTCTCCGTGAATCTGATGCAATGCTGCTACGCCTCCTACCAACTGAAATGATACCCTACCACCAACGAACGTCCCCCAAAATGGAATTTGACAAGTCTTGGTAGAAGAGCTTCTAGCTAAATACAACTGCCGAGTTGTTGTTCAGCTGCGAACTATTCGCACGCAAATGACACGCTGACCACGCTTGCCACGTTCTGCTAGCCTATCAGTCTGGCCCTTGGCTTGCATTATGTACAACACAGATGACTGCAGTACTTTGGCTTAGAAGGGCCAACTGGATGAATCCTAAACGAGGTGACAGGGGATGAGATTGAGGGGCCAAAGGGGCGCGGATTCGACGTCATGTTTAGCCTGAATTCACCCAACATCCACATGGCTACTGGGTTTAGCTGTATAACCTTCCTGATGAAGAAATTTTATTTTCCGTGAGTTCTTAGCGTTTCAACATGAAATGTTTAGTGACGGTTAATCAAGTTATTAATGGAAGAACCATAAAAAGGAAGAAGAAACATAATGCGGTCTAATATATGTCCATTGGAGGAATATTGCAACCAATCCATACATATACCGGGAACAGATAAGAATTCGGATATCGATATCGTAGTATCGATTCATACGCTGACAAGTGACGACATATCAACATTTATAGAGCATTTGGAAGGCATCAAACAAATTACGAGTACACTTGTAGATTCTACAGCACGATATTTGAGCGGAAGTATAGTCAAGTGCTTTGAGTAGATTGATAAGGTTTGTTTAAGTTTCTCCTGGTATTTCCCTTCAATCCACAATTGCTTCAAACCAACGGCCTTCCTACCCACCCCAACACTGAATAGCTTAAGCTGCCCATATGAACAAGGACATGCTGATCTCTAACGGCGGATACTAACAACTGGATCAAGAAGCTCCACGTCCACATCGGGTGCCTCGCGACGATGAATAGACACAATTGGATCACTCAACTCAGCTTCAAGGCTTGGAGAGGTGCGGCGATGAATGGAAACAATGGGGTCTCTCAATTCAACCTTGAAGCTTGGTGAAGTGCGAGGAGTTACTGGTGCTGCGATAACGGAGCCTGCCAAGAAGCACATAATGATGTGAGAGCAAGTAGTTAAGAGCATGATGATGCTGGTGAGGCTTGATAGACCTGGAAGAGTTAGTAGGACCATGATGGAGTAAAAACTGACATACTTTGAAATGAGTAACTGTTTCTCTGGCTTCGAATTTCAGGAAAGAGACAGCGTCCTGAGTTTAAGAAGCTTCAGCTCTTGTGAGCCAGAAGCAAAGTTGTGTGGCATAATAATCAGAGAATCGATCCAACCTAAGCGATGTTGGAAAACATCGTGGGACTGCCAGCGGATCTTCATTGTTGCCTGGAAGGATTCGAAACCCAACGATTGGAGAACTACCGACAGAAAATATGATCATCCGGATTGCAATTCCCACCAGTAAGTCCACACTACATCATCAATCTCACACTTGGGGGCCATCGATTGTGACCAACTTAAAGACAAGATAGGTGAGAAGTGGAATTCTCAATGAAATATTGAATCCTTCGGATGCAGTACTAAACTGTAGGCCAATGGATAGTATAAACCAACCATTCCAACTGCCTTGCATATGCTATGCCCATACACAAATCGACCCTTGGCCACGCGGTGATCTCGTTTTTCCAATCAGGTTTGCTTAGACTTCTTGCTGATATTGCCGTTATCTTTTGGTTCGTTGGCTCAATATACTTGCATCCAGATAATGTATCTCAGACTCTGCCAGTAGGGTTGCTATGAACGGACTCCTCATACAACAGCACGTGAGAAGTCTCTTCATTCTCCAAAGCCCAGTTTGATCTACAAATCGATTTGCACCATCCAGCAAATAACCTTCCAGCCATGACTTCTGGCATTCAAAAGTATATGGCGCTAAATGAAAAGCTCGGTTTTCATGCCGATGATCCAATCGAAAATGCAAAACTTCTGGAAGATAGCGGAAGCGACAATGAAAGCCAACAATTTCCTCGCATCAAACGACAGAAACTGCTTGGATTTGGATATCTTCCAACGATATTTTTGATCTTGTCTTTGGTTTTCAATGCAGTTTTTCTTCGCCAAATCATTGTTTTAGATACTCGTATGTTTAGCTGTCCTTCAAAGTATAGTAAGTGAACTTTCTCAACAAGACATCCACACAAGCTGATGAAAATTTACCAGCAAGTCTATCTCGCGACTACCCAATAACTTATTCAACCACCGAGGATGAGAACGATACATTAGTCGATGAGTATTGGGAGAGTCTAGATACGAGCGCAGTAGTCGTGGCTCTCGACCATAAATACACAGACAGCCACGGACTAGCTCGCTCAGTTCCTTTCGTATGGGATGATGAGAAAGGTATCTATCATATAAAAGCACTGCATCAGCTTCATTGTCTCGTAGGCTCCCATTACCCGCCCACTTCAAAGATCGAGGAGTCTAACGGTTTAGTAGAAATTAATCCGAAAGAATATTCTCGAGCCAGGAAAATACGCCACCCCAGAAGAAGTGAAACCCCACATCTTGCACTGTTTGAATACTCTAAGACAAGACATAATGTGCGCCGCAGACGACACACTTATGCCGTCAGAGAATCGTTCGCACGCCATCGGTGACAAGCAAGTTCTTCAATGTCGCAACTGGGACGCCTTAATATCTTGGGCTCGTGAGCCAGAACATCATTCCTGCTATGAAGTGGTATCTGAGTACGCTCCTGTGTCCCATCGGCTGGAAAGGTACGGGTTTTGTCCTGAGAATTCGCCGCATTATGAGACGATGAAGGCGTATTTTGAGAAGTGGGATCATAAATCTATGTTTGAGGAAAGGGTGAATGTGGATTATTAGTCGGTGGCTCAAGAGTAACCTTTCTGAAATAACACAACAAGATCAGTTCAATGGCTGCAAAAATCAGATCTACCTTACCGTCTGAGTGTAACATATGGATATTTAAGTTGATCTACTCACCCCACCCTGCAGCAACCCCTACCCATACCCTTTCCCGACAATCTTACCAAGAAAAATTATAGCAAACTTCGCTCATTGTAGAAGCCTCGAAATATCCCCAAAAATATTAATGATCATAAGTAAAAAAACTGCAAAAAGAAAATATCCCAAATATTAGATTGTTGAACAGAGTGGGACTCGAACCCACGCCCCTTTCGAGACCAGGAAATTGTTGTTAAGGGAACCTTAACCTGGCGCCATAACCAGCTCGGCCATCTGTCCTGATATCTTTGAGATGAGAATGGAGGGCTAATTTGCCAATATGACTAGAACACAGAAAATAGATTGTGGGTGAGTTAAGTGGGGCTTAGGGCTGATTTGCAGGTGCAGGTGGGGAAAAGTTGCAAGGGGGCTGAAAAGTGGGGGCAACAGAGTGAGGGGCAGAAGCAGGGAATTATTCTAGCATTTTGAGGGTAAGAAAAAAAATACAAGTCGGTTTCTATTGAGACTACCTCAGTAATATAAATATGCGTTTGATCTGGTAAATAATAGTAACAAGCCTATCCGAGAACATGAGACAACTGATGCTACTTACTGTATGTAATCACATGTTCAAGCAGGCTATGCGCAATACAAGGTATTGATCGTTAACTAAGAGGTGCATGTGAATAATGTGAATTATGTCAGTCCTAGGAAGGTGCATTATGTACAATACTCCGGCTATAAAAGAGATCTGAATGATAGATAAGGGTTTTTTCTAAAAAGAAAAAGACCTCTAAATCCTTCCTTGCCAGCGAAGACAGGAGACAATTGCAGAGCAGGACAAGACAAAGTACTTACAATCGTTTCATAAGCCTGATTTCGGAAACGTTTTTGAGATAATTGAAGTGTTAGCAGCTGCACGGGATGCTGCGAATGTTGCTTCGCCGAGTATAAAGTCTTTGGTCTTGGCGTTTGAGGGTAACGGCCTCGAGCGTGTTAATAGTATGCGTATAAATGATAATAAGGGGGAGAGAGTACAAAGGCTCGTTCACACGGTGTATCGGAATTTAGTAGTATTTTTCTGAGTAGAGCGAAGCTAACAAGCTCTACAAGAATAAGCTTTCCCTAAATTCAGTTCAAAGTACCGCCTAGCACCTTATAATTTCCTGATCAGAAATGTATATTTCTTTCACACAATCCCAATGATGTTTATTCATCCAAAACTCTCCATAAAGAACCACGCGTTTAATTTCGATAAAATTCTCAATGAATACTAACACTGAACTAAAAATACTAGGAAATCATATCCATTAACCCTGCCCCGACGAGAAAGTAATAAGAATACCCTATTAGCCTAGTACTTAATAAACTACTCGTTCTAAGAACTCGACGATACTTTAATCTTATAAGAAGTTTGAACTATGGAATAGCTTCCTACTCTAGCCCTCTTCCCACTTGCCTACCTTTAAAGATCTCGAGAGATTCTTATTCACCAGAATCTCAAATTATCTTAAGTCGAGTACTGTTCGATTATGTTAAACCTCATTAACATTTTAATTATTAGTTTGTTCAGAAATATTCAAAGCGGTCTATAAAATGCCTAAATTCCCTTATATATTATAGAAGTTATTACACTCGAGTAGTAGTTTTCTAATACCTCTAGAAATTTCACGTAATATATTTAAAAAGATATAATATACTATAATAGCCTTTCTATAAGAATAGGTATAGACGAAGGAAGAAATTCTCTCGAGTCTCTGTTAAAATAATGCTTTTAATATAACAAACCTGTTATAAGTAAACGAGAACGATCCGTCACGTGAACAGATACGCTTTGCGTTGTATACGTAAGTTTACTAGCTATTAGTCTTGTATAACGATAAGTCCTATTTTAGCTAGTATTAAATTAACTTGGAATACATAGAAAATTTAAACCTAGGCTTTTACAAAATACAACCATTCTCCGCAGAATAGTACAGTTGGCACGTCCGCCTTTTTGCTCTTTACCTACCAAGACAATTCAACTCCACGAAATCCGAATTTGCAACATTCGTCGAAATAATATTTGCTGTCAGTTTTATACTTGTCTTGGAAAGCCTAAAAATATTCGGACGTCCGGAAAAATACAGATGAGTTCTCTCTGGAAAGATACTTTCTGGCGGTGCAGTTTTGGCAGATTCCGGGAACAGCTGCGCCAGCTTAGGGTAGGATTGCTTCTCTTGGCAGGAACCCATCTGCTCGCCTGCTCCTCAGATTCAGTTAGTATAAGGAAGACAGTATTTAGTAGTAATAATGCTTTTATACAAAAGTAGCTTAATTATTTTTTTCCCTAATATCTACTAGAATAGATTTCTATATTTCTCTATTTAAGGTACGTTAATAAAATAATAGCTTAGCTTTTTATCCCTAATATAGCTAGATTCTCTTCTATTTATCTATATAATAATTAGTTATTAAATTTATACTTACTATTATAAACGTCTTACTATCTGTGCTATGGTAACCCCCAAATATGTGTTTTGGTTAATTAGACTATTATAATCGCCGTACTATAGATTTAAGGACTACCATTATAATAGTAGTACATATAATAATCCATTCTATAATATACTTTTGTTATATCTTAGGAGGGTGTGGAACAAGTGGGCTGATGGATGTGGAATAGGGAATGGAATGTGGGCTGTCAACACCACGACAATTGCTGATTTATATATAGGACTATGCTCCTATCACTCCCCACTTTCCTAGTACCTCAGTTTATCTACTCTTGTCCAATATAGACGAGGTGGTGCGAGAGTTGGTGCAGGTCGTAAAGCAAAGGCTAAATAATCTGGGAATAGCCTCACTTTTCCTTTGTTTGGGTACAGGATTTGGGTGGCTAGAGTTGTGCTTTAAGTACTTAATTATTTGAGTCGCTTTATTTGCTTTATTTACTTTCTAGGCTAGGGGTGTGCTTTAATTAAAAATTACCTTTTATTATTAATTTAAAAGACGAACAATTCGCTTGTAAGAATTGATCAAATAATACCGTCTATTCCATCATACGTACTAATTAATCAAATAATCGTAGTATTAATTAATTCGACGAAATTACGGTTACAATATCACATATCGAGAGAAAATAAAACATTCAAAGACCTTACTAAACTTATTAGAGACAAAATAGGAGACTATTAGAATAAGCTACGAAAAGTGGAATAACGGGGAAAGCTAGATAAAGAGCGTGTAGGGCTCTAATATAAGAGCTGTCTATCGGTATAGAAGCGTCCGGAATAGGACTAGCGCCTTCTATAGAATATGCTAGTACTAGATAGTAGAGCCGAGAGTGCTCGTGTTATAACAAAACTATTATAAATTTCCACGCTTAGGCTTCGCTCTTAGAGAATAGTGTTAAGAAATAGAGTACCAAGCTTCCCTTAATAAGTTTCTGTATTCTTGACCCCTGAAGCGTGCCCCGGAAGATATCGCCCTAGGCGTACATAGTACCTTTCTTCCTATCTGTTTCCTAATCTATTACTTAATATAGAAATATAAGAATTACTAACGCCGTAACTTACTAACATTACCTAAGGAAGACAGTGGATTCTATATTACCTCATGCTATTAGGTATTATATAAAGCATATAAAGATTCTTATTAACTTATATACTATTATTCCTATGTTATTTTAGTACCCTCAATATTATCTGCAAGACCCTAGAGGTCCTAGTAAAGAGAGGAAAGAGAAAATTCAGTCTAGTCAGGAGGAAGCTAAAGAGAGAAGAATTTCTTATGTCTATCCTATGACTGAATATCCCATGTTTCAAAACCCCTCGATCACCTGGCCACCTTTTTCATTCATCGAGTGCCAGCTTGCCGAGTGCACTAATGGCCCCATCCAGAATGCTCTCCATGATTCCCGACTCATTCTAGGGAACTAATCGTACCCTAAGATTATTGCGCTTCTCCTTAACACCACGACCCAGCTGCTTGAGCCAATCGCCAGCTGTTCCGCCTGGGATAGTGGAATTAAAAACATTTTGAACCGGGACGGGACTTTTACGTTACATACTCCGTACACCGCCTAGAACTATCTTTTAGCGATAATAAGCTGATTAAATTAAAGATTATTGGTGAATTCTCTATCAGTTCTTGTAGAGTTATAAATACTCTACTTAGTCCTTTAGTTATATAATATTCCATAGTCGGTTCGAAGCACTAAGGTATATATAACAAAAACTGTGCCTACCTAGGTGAAATTGTCTTGTAGTATCATGTTACATTTTATAGCAGAAATGATAGATATATACATGTAAAATCCAGTGCACATAAGATATGTCTCACTTCCAAGTCTTTTGTCCATTAATCACAATATTACAGGTGCTTTCGGGTAGTCCCCTCTCATTTATTAGCAAGAGCTAGGCTCCTCGAAAGTTTACGACATTGAACAAGTGTATTTACCTTGGATGCCATTGTCGAATAGAAAGAACATAACCCGAGGGTCATCTGATCTCATCTGAACAAGTAACTCTTGTCAAAAGAGAATTTACTGTTATAGCCACTACTACTATCGAATGAGAAACCCACATTCACTTCACTTGGAAATTGTAAAAGCTTCCGCTCTTAGGTTGAATTTACAAAAGGGAAACGGGTAGGTTGTCATAGAAATCCGTGTGGTTCTAACTCTTGACATACTTGGACACCTATAACGGCCCCCGCCTGTGTGATTAGCGCCACCTGAAATTTGCATAAGCCTTTTGTCCTCCTTCTCATTCAAAAGGGAAGTTTATATAGTCAAGTGCGGATGTGGATGAGTCATCGTGGTATTTGGGGACAGTGGGAAGTGAATTTGAGTTCTATAGATAAAGCGAGGATCTCTAATTCTCCGAGGCCTATACGGAGTAGAGAACTAAATTAGGTATTTAAACCGCTTAGTATAATACTAGATAATATGAACATATAATAGAACCGGGAAGATATTAATGTTACGGAGTTGGAGGGACTGGGGTCTGGTCACGTGTAGCACGGCACGTGCGTGCCGCTGGCATCCTGTATTTAAGCTTCCATTCCTCTGGAACTCTATTCTCTCCTCCTCACTTAGTTGTTCGCTCAATACAGCAGTTTCCGTTTGACTCCGTATTCATCACAGCAAGCAGTGGTTCACTCCACACGGTTACAATTAATTAACCTATGAACTTTATACCGGAAAATCCCTATCGGAACTACGTTAGGAAATACCTAATACCGCGCGGAATAGCCCGGGGTATAAAACCTTCCTTAACGCGTACTTTTCCTAATACTAACGCTGGCCGCGAAACCTTAAATATCCTACTAAAGACGTAGTTCTTTATCTACAAGTTTACGCGTTTGCTTATTTATAGGTAGGTGTGACGACACGCACAGTTGATGGACCGCGCAAGAGTGCACGACTACGTCAGGTATCACGAGTGGTGAGATTGACACTGTGGAACTGTCTATACGAAGATTCTAAGCTGCGGAGAGAAGAGAAGAAAGGACAGAAGCTCAGGAGCTGGAGGCTCTTATATACAGGAGGTGTGCCAAGCGCACCTGCTTAGCCGACTTCCAGGCAGGGACTGGTCTGGAGCATGGTTGCCGCAAGGTTCCAGTCAGGGGCTGGTCTGTAGCGTAGTGGCGGTCAGAACCGTCACAGTAGGGAAGGGAGAGCAGTGTTTAGAGTCTCCCCTCTAAACCTCTCCCCGCTACTCCTATCCTACGGAATCTCCGTCCCTATCCGTATAAATTAGAGCGCTCTCCTTCCTACTCTAATCCTGACTAATTAGTACTCCTTATCCTCGCCAGAGCACCGGATAGGAGAGGGCGGGAGTACTCCTAAGGCTAGGTGTTATAGGTTTTAAATAGGTCTGAAATATAGTAGTAAAACAGGTGGAAATTAGGTAGACTTAATCTATAGTAAAGGTGTGACGACACGTACGATATGTTGCTCAAGGAGCGTCCAAGGTGTAGGTTATGGAATCGTAGAACTGTCTATTCGAAGATTCTAAGCTGAGGAGAAGAGGAGAGCTCGAGAGAGCTTGAGTCTAAATACAATGTGGTTCGCTAAGGAAGCCACGTGATATGAATGGCACGTGACGGTCAGAACCGTCACAAAAGGGGTACTCGAGACTCGAGTATAAATACTATATAGTACTCTTAACGAAGTAACAAGCCTAGCTAGCGTACTTTAACAAGCCTAGCGTACTTACGAATAGCCTTATTTTTCCACCTTATTTTAGCCTCTCCTTCCTACACCTCTCCCGAATCCTACCTCTCCTTATCTACTCCTTTCTAGATAAGTAACCTATTCTCCTCTTCTTCTCCTAGCTAAATATATAGATCTCCTACTCCTTTCCTAGTAGTTAGGAGAGGAGAGAAGTGTCACGAATCACGTGTTAGCACGTGGTTAGCGAAGTCCAGGCGGCGTCCTGACAGGTCAAGCACTACCAGAATACTTATAGCAGATAGGGATGCTTAGGTTAGCTAAGCGATCCAGGGATTTCATAGCAATTATATCACGTGACCAGTAATGGTCGTTTGGTCGCGGCGACCAGCAGCGATCATGAGGATGAAGGTTCTATATAAGACTGGCACGTCTGCCATTAGATAGGAGCTTCGTGCTCAACTTAGTTATCAATCTTATCATATTAGTTTGACATCTTTGATACAAGTAACGAGTTCACTTCCAAGTGAACAACCCGATAGTCTTCTTCTTATCATAGCATACCAACCAGCGAACACCCAGCCAAGTTTAGTTAGCCAGTTTGAGTATTCGTTACATGCCGCTACGTACCTAGAAAGAGCCGCACGCTATAGACGAGTTTTAGTATTCCTACCCGACCTACTTTTCCCTTCCTAAAGTAGTAAGTCTTAATCCGCCTTACCTAAAGTAGTAAGTCTTAAAGGTTTGCGTTCTAGCCTATATAAAGCCTTCTAGAGTCTCTTTTAGGATCAGAGGAACGAGGAATCAATTGTATTTAAACGAGAGGATATTAAACTAGATTATCTAATACTGAGTTCTAGGTTCCTAGAGGGAATAGACTTAAGATAATAAGAACCTAAGGTATATTAAATTAAAGAATAGCTTTAATAACGTAATATATATATTACTAAGCCGTCTAATAAGCTAATCTTCGATAGTTTAACTGTGACGATGACGGTCAGAACCGTCACAATAACTTCTAATATTCATATTTATACCCAGATATCTAAAAGGTTAAAGTAGTAGTACTTATTTAACCTTACTTAAGTAGGTTTTAGCCCTACTCTAACCTACTTACTAAGGGTTAATTTAAATATAGTACTAATTAATTAGAGTAGCGCTAATCGGGCCGAGTTTCTATAGCGTGTTTATCCTACTCTAATTAATTCGTTCGCTTATTTATATTTACTATTATTTAGCTAGTTTTTTTATATACTATTGTTTCTAAAATAAAAGTTTATTTATACTTATTTATTTTAATTCTTTATATATAAGAGCTAGAAATACTATTTATAATAAACTAATTAAGTAGTACTTAATTAGTTAACCCGTATACTTTAATATAAATATTTTTTTTCTTCTTTTTTAAAGAGTATTTTAACTCTAGTTAAATTCTCAAGTTATAGAAGAATAAATTATTATATATAAGTTAGAATTATATAATAGAAATAAATACCAAGTAATTATATTTCGCTATTTATTTAAATAAATAGTTTCTTATAGGTTAAGGCGTAAAAGGGGTATTCGCGTAAGAATATTAAGAAGAAGAAATTATAGAATCGTATTTAATTAGTATAATTACTTTTTAAAAGTTTTGTTTTAACGCGGGTATATTAAAACTATGAATTTCTTACTAGTATAAGCATTCTTACTTATTCAATCTAATTATTAGAATGCTTTAGGAAAATAAATATAGGAGAAAGAAGAATCAAGTTACTAATGTTTCTTAATAACATTAACATTGGCACATCACATTGGAGCGAGATACTCTGACGCTGAGTTGGGCCCTTTGACATCACAAGAGAAGCGGACTTGGAAAATTGGAAGTGGCCGGTGACTTTCCAATTGCATCATCAACGGTAAGCTAATTGAAATGCAATTTTCGGGCACGTCATATTGACGATGAGAATAGCAAGAAGATAAGCAGCATTGCCTCAGCAATCGTCATCAAAGACAATGAAAAGTTTGTTTATCTATTGCGCGGAAATTGCAGCAAATATTGACTGTCAGTAGGCGACGACATCAACAATGCAGCAGCCTCAAGTCAAACCGCACACAACAACCGCAAAATACATAGAAAACAATAGCAGAAAACACAATGCGCAAGCTATACAATAGGAGAATAGTTGATGCAATTTTTTTGCGGCGGTATAATGCTTTTGAAGCTACATTGGGATAGATTGTCGTTGATATTGAGTTGACCGTTGTTGCCGTAGGGCTGGACCCACTCTGACAATACTGTCGATCAATTTCCGGCCAGTCAGAACCTCCATTCACCCTATTGTACTTGGTCCGTGGGCGTTGGCCCCTGCTGGACCCCTGCTGCCCCCACGGAAGCCGGCCTCGGCAACGAGGATTTTCGCAGGGTACATAAACAAGTCCTCCTCATCACAAACTTTTTTCTTCCCCAGGACAACTTTTTTTTTCACACATCTCCTCTCGTTCTTCTGTCAACTCTTGCACTCTTATCTGTACTTCTTGTCCACGTACATCAAATCTTCACACACGCAATCGAACCACAATATGCCTCGACGCAAGTCTGGTATCGCGCCAGCAGCAGCTCACCCTGCTGTCCCTGTTAGACGTTCAAGTCGAATCAGCACCCCCTCTCAACGATATACACCCCCTCCTGCTCCTACCAAGGTTACCAAGGTAAGCTCATCCTCATCCATCTTCAAATATCAGCAGCTAACATACGTCCACAGCGCAAGGGAAAGGGAAAGGTTGCTGCAGCCGTCGCTGCAAAGGTTTGTATCTCAACACGCGTCCACACTTCGCCCGTTGACCCTTTTTTGCAGACCGTCAAGAAGGCTCTTACAACCAAGAAGGCCTCTGGCACAACCAAGGTAAGTGCTTCGACACTCATCGCAAGTCAAATTCACCCGACTGACTTTCGTCAGGCTACCAAGGCTGCCGTCGGCAAGAAGGTATAAATTCCATCTCTCTTCACACTTGACCTTCCTTATTCCTTCAACAACATTGACCTCCAACCTTCAACAACTGCTAACCCATCACCTTAGCGCAAAAACGACGACGACGACGATGCCCAACCGTCCAAGAAGTCCAAGACCAACACGGGTCTCGCTGCTCCTGTCAAAGGACGAAAGCTCGCTGCCATCAAGGTACCTTCTGCAAAGGCTGCTGCTCCTGTCAAAGTTTGTGAGCCCCTCGTCCATATTCTTCCTCTGCTAAATATTGTTCAGGGTCGTAAGATGGCAAAAGCCACCAAACCATCCACCAAAGCAGCAAAAGCTGCCACCTCAAAGGTAAGTCCATCTCTCCATCGTCTTCAATTTCCCCTGCTGACTTGGCTTTCTTCAAAGGCTACCAAGGCTGCTGCCAAAGCAGCTAAGGCTGCCGCCCCCAAGGTATGTACTTTCCCTCCTCGTCGCCTGTCTTTACCTCGTCTGACTTGATCTTCTTCATAGGCTGCCCCCAAACCAAAGAAGGAGTTGCCGATTATCAATGCTGTTGCCACCCAGAATCTTGAAGTCTTTTCCATGGGCGAGGGCTCTGGTGGAGAACTTGGTCTCGGAGCAAAGCATGTACGTGGTCGTATGATCACGGATGTCAAGCGTCCCCGACTCAACCCTTTCCTTGCAGCTGATGCCGTTGGTGTCGTTGCTCTTGCTGTTGGTGGTATGCATTGCGCCGCCCTTACACATGACCATCGTATCTTGACTTGGGGTGTCAACGACGGTGGTGCGTTGGGTAGAGACTCAACCACCACCGAAGTTAAGTTGAAGGATGCTGGCGCGGACGATGGCTCATATTCAGACTCTGAGTTCGATGAGGAGAGCGGACTCAATCCCAACGAAGCTAGCCCTGGAGAAGTCAACTTGAAACACTTCCCAGCAGGTACGAAGTTCGCCAGTATTTATGCTGGTGATTCCATGACCTTTGTTGTCACCACAACCGGCCTCGTATATGGCTGGGGTTCATTCCGAGTAAGTAAACATTCTTTTCTCTGTTTTCTGGACTTCCTTCTGACATTTGCAGGGTAACGATGGACCAATTGGGTTCACACCAGAGGTCAAGATGGCCACCAGACCCATCTTGATTCCTCAACTTAAGAACATCGTCTCCATGGCCACCGGCACCAACCATGTCCTGGCATTGGACAACAAGGGAGCTTGCTGGGTCTGGGGCGCTGGGGAGCAAAACCAGCTCGGCCGACGTGTGGTTGCCAGAACCGCCGTCAACTCTCTTGTTCCTCGTCCCTTGCCTTTGCCTCGTGGAAAGCATGTTATCAAGGTTATTGGTAGTGGTGACTACCATGCCTTTGCTGTTACCGAGAAAGGACAAACTTTCGCTTGGGGCTTGAACTCTTTCCGTCAAACTGGTATCCAAACTAAGGATCTTGACGACACAATTATTAGCGCACCCACTCTTGTCACCACTCTTAGTGGTAAGAACCTCGCGCAAATTACTGGCGGTGCACATAGTTCAATTGGGGTCACCACCACTGGCGAAGTTGTCGTCTTTGGTCGTTTGGAGAATTCCGAGGGTGGAATTGACCGTACAACAGTCGACGAATCACAGGTCTTTTTCCAGGACGGCCGGCCCAAATTTGCAAAGGTCCCATTGGTTGTTCCCGGTATCGACGCAACAATGGTTGCAGCTGCGAATGATACTTGCATGGCTGTTACCAAGGATGGACGAGCTTTCTCCTGGGGCGCAAATATGACGTACCAAGCCGGACAGGGGGATATCGAAGACGTGAAGGTAGCAACTCTGCTGGAAAACTCCGCGATTCGTGGTAAACAAATGGTGTTCTGTGGAATCGGGGGACAATTCTCACTTTTGGGTGGTTTGGCTGCGGAGGGAGAGGAAAATACAGCATAGATTGTTTGTTTGGGGGGTTTGGTCTGTTCTTTGGAGTGGTTTTTTCGTGGATATTTTCGCCAAATTTGGCCTTGATTACGGGGGGGAAAAGTTACTTGATTGTTTTTTTTTTCGATTGTTCTTGTTGTATACCCCTAGTAGATGGTCGATACTTTCCCATCTTTGAGAATTTTTCTCTCTCCGCTACGCTTTGTTAGATTAGATACCCATTTGTCGTTTTCGCGGGTTTCTCTAGGAACTGATTACTTTTCCACTCTTCATCCTTCCTTTTACATATCTCGCTATAACTTGATGATTTCGTGAAATGTACTAGAGTACTTGGTCAGAATCTATCCATCTTCCCATTTCTCTCCCTAGTAAATCTGTTTTTCTCACGTACCTTTCCACACTGAAACCTCTTTTTCGGGATTTCTATCGTACATTTCTTGAAAAATTCCCTCTAGGGAAAAGGAACTTTGTATTTTCACGATTATTGAATGCGTGTTTTTAGTAGTGGGTTTTTGGGGGATTTCTGGGGATGTTCATTGTTTTTGGGAGGATTTTTGTGAATTCATCGATGGGGATTTGGATTTTTGAAAAGTGGATTTTTGAATGTTATTAGGGAATTTAGGGGTCGCGTAAGATGTTTATAGAGAGTGTGTTTTTTTTAAGGGGTTTAGGTATTTGAGTGGAAGTATAAAACTTGCGCGAATTATATAAGGAAGGGAAATAATAGGGGAGTAGAGGGTTTTCTTAAGTCTTTTAGAGGTTCTATGTTTTCTAGGAGAAGAGATGTAATTAGGTAGGAGTATAAATCTTACGCGAATAGGAAGAAGAAGGGAGACTAGAGGGGACTAAGATGTTTTCTTAAGGGTTTTAGAAGGTTTAGATTTTATAAAAGGAGAGAGGTAAGGTGGTAGGTATATAGAACTCACGCGAATAATAGGAACAAATAGAGGTTTTATTTATCTTTTCTTTAGGTTAGAGAAAAGGGTTTATTTAGAGAAGTAGAGAAGAGTAGTAAAATTTTAGAGCTTACGCTAATTACAAGAATAATTAAAGTAATTATATAGCTTTTATCTTTTTAAGAGAAAGAGGTTTATTTAGAGAAGTAGAGAAGGATAGTAGAGGTTTAGAACTTACGTAGAGAGGAGAAAGAAATAGAGATTTTATTTATCTTTTCTCTTTTCTAGGGAAAGAGAGTTATTTAGATAAGTAGAAAAGATATATAGATTTTTAGAAGTTATATAAATAAAAGAAAGTGTTACGGAGTTGGAGGGACAAGGGGTAGATCACGTGTAGCACGGCACGTGCGTGTTGCTCAAATCTTGTATATAAGCTTCCATTCCTCTGGAACTCTCTTCTTCCCTTACTTTGTTATTCGCTGAATATAGCAGTTTACACTTGACTCCGTATCTTATCACAGCAAGTAGTGGTTTACTCCACACTTTTACAGAAAGAATTAAAGTTTAATTTATCTTTTCTTAGGTTTAAAGAAAGGGGTTTATCTAGAGAAGTAGAGAAGAGGTATAGATTTTTAGAGGTTACGCGAGTAGAGAAAAGAATCAGAGGTTTTATTTATCTTTTCTTTAGGTTAGAAAAAGGAGGTTATTTTAGAAAATTAGTAAATAGAAGTTAAGGTTTAGAACTTATACCAATAGAGAAATATAGTAGTCTTTAATTATCTTTTCTTTAGTCTAGATAAAGGAGTTTATTTGGAGAATTAGTAAAGTTTAATAGGAGTATAGATATTACACGAACAATAAGAATTAGAGTTTTTATCTATCTTCTCTTTACTCTAGAGAAAGGGTTTACTTTAACTAGATAGAAAAGGTTAGAAAAGGTATAGAGGATACGCGAGTAGAGAATAAACATAGGATCTTTATAACTATTATTTTATTTAAGAGAAAGAAACTACTTTAACTAGATATAAATAAGGTGTTATAGTAATATTCCTAACTAGTATTAAAAACGTGATTTTTAGGAATACTAAAAAAGGTATAAAACTAGAAACTTAGGAAAATAACACACTTATATTATAGAATAACTATAGTTCTAGGGCTTTAGCCCTATAATAGGATTCTACTTTAGTATAGTCTTAGTAGTTAGAGGTAAGTTTTGCGTGGTTAGGTCTTAGTATATAACTAACATAAAGACTAACTTTTTATCCCTCCTTAAATTACTATATAAATATACCTATAGAGTATATAAAAAGTTAATATACTGTCAGAAGACGAGGGCACAATGTGGAATGGATAAGCTGGAATATAGAGAGAAATTAGCTAGGGGGCGAGTAGGGAGTCTTATAAGACGACCCTGACCGAGTGGAAGCCGCTAGAATACTAGGCAACCACCTAGGCAACCGAGAAAGGGGTCAGGCAGCTAAGACAAGAGTCTCGTACTATAACAATTGCCGCCACAAAATCGAAAGACGATGCCCCAGCGTCACTAATCCCTCTCTGTGTGTAGACGAGACTCTTAATGAGTACTCATCCGAGAATGGAATCAAATAAGTATACTGTGAAATCCAAATCCAAATACAAATCGGTGGCTCTCTATAAGCACATGCCGATATCCATGTAAGTCCAAATGCAAAGTCCAATATCCAAATCCATGTCCGAGAGAGGCCCTTGATGAGCACAATCCGGTGTCCATTCATCAATATCCATACCAAATCCAATGTGATATGATGTATCTATCCCAATGTGATATCTAATCCAAATGAGTGATATGTCGCAAGCGAGCGACAGGGGGGGTGTGTGTCCTCGGTCCTGAAAAAGTCCGTCGGATCCTAAGCATATTTGTCCTGTTGTTCCTTCTCCGCCTTCTACTGGAGTTCCCTCTGTTGCTTGAAAAAAAAACCACGGAACGCTGCCCAACCGAGTGCTTTTAAGTCCTTTTCAAGCTCCTTCTTCGTGGTAGGTGGAGCTACTGGTTGTGTCGGCTCAGCATTTACGTGCGTAATATAGTGTACAAGTCGGCGGGTGGAAGTATCAAGTTCTTTTGAAATACCTAAGTTACGTAAGATAGCTAACTTAAGTCGGTACGCGATACGCATAACTTCTGGGTCTATATACGTATATGGCTATCTAGGCATGTTAGGCGCTAAGCGAGAAAAAAGGGGGAGTGTTTTATTAAGTACCTGCTGGCTCGGTTTGTACTTTTGAGGGCAGACTTTGTCGGTTTTTATGTTTTTCCGCTGGTTTTACGAAGTAAGTTAAGGCTATTCGTAAGTGTAGAAATAAGTCGATTTTTAACTTAAAGGCCTAATAAAGAGATTAGTCTGAAACAGGGATGTAGAGAAGAGAGTCGGTTTGTAGCAAAGGAAGCTAGTTGCCTGTTAAGTCCTTTGAAAGTAGTGTTCTATTAGATCAACCGATGACTAGAAGCCGGTTTGTAGCCGTTAATCCTTTGAAAAGTAGTGCTTGTTTAAGTATTACGATACGTAACCGGGCTAAAAGAGAGTGTGGTAAGGTAGGTTTAATACTCCGATCCTCTTGCGCTATTGATATCTAGGTTATCCTAGAGATAACCCGTTAGGGAGTCTTACGCGTAACTTAAGCAAGAGTATCGAAATATCAAAGGGAGGTTCCTGGTGCCTTTAAATCCAGGGCTGGGCAATCTGTACAGATTCTTTTAAAAACAAGATAAGACAAGCTGAGATCCTAGCATTACTACTAAATGTCAGAAGACGAGGGCACAATATAGAATAGATAAGCTGGAATATAGAGAAAAGCTAGCTAGGGGGCGAGTAGGGAGTCTTATAAGACGACCCTGACCGAGTGGAAGCCGCTAGAACGCTAGGCAACTACCTAGGTAACCGAGACAGGGGTCAGGCAGCAGAGACAGGAGTGTAGGAGTCTCGGCTAAGATTGACCGACATGTCGTAACACTGCTGTTGTAGTGATGAAGCGAAGCAGAAGGTTGGTGCGAAGAATCGATGGCGATAAGCAAGAGACAGGTACTTGCCAAATTATAGCGATCCGTTCCTAAGTCTTTATAGTATAGTTCTAGATCGTTGTTGCCCTTTGGTACGCTTGATTCTATAGTGCAGTGCTGAATGTTTTCTCTTGAGACTTGATTATTGTTGTTAGCCTTAGTAGTTCGCAACGGGTGCTATCTCTGTTAACTCCCGTTTTCTATATAGAGGAGCGAATACATCAGGTTCTAGCTCGGTTCCCTTTACTTCACTTCTTTTCTTATCCCTAGATACGTATAGAATTACTACTAGTACATGCTATATCTAGCTAGTATATATTACTAGTATAGTCTCCTCCTTTAAGTTCCACTTACCCATTACCTATTGCGCAGCTTACTATCGTGTCGGATACTTGGCTTCTTCTCATTCTTTGTCCCTATATTATGCCTGTGCCTTTTTGGCGGTCCTAATATCGCAGTATTACAGTACGCCTTCAAAGTTTTCTCCCCAAGCTTTTATGGTGTTCGTATAGTTGTTGAATCATTAGGGCGGTTGTTTATATTTGTAGGAATTATAACAAGTTCTCGGGCAGAGGCATTCGAATTCGTACAAAGTCCTTTGGCTGGTATACCCGACCTTAAGTTGTACGCAGCTCTGATACGTCCCGGTTAAAAACACAGTACCGTATAGACCGCAGTAGTCTTTTTCTCACAAGGCTGATATCGTGAGGGGGGTCAACTTACTACAATACTTAAGGGACTAGGGCAGTCCAAGTGAATTGACCGAAGCCTTGAGCTCCATTCTGTGAAAGTAGAATAATATTCTTTTCGGAAAATTAATAATTATTACTATCAAGAAATGGGCTCGTATAAGTACAAAGAAGAAACTTTTTTATCGTAAGGTAATATTCCTTTATTACTTTTCTCTCTTGATAATATAAATCACCTCGTTCTTGGCAAAATAGAAGAGTTAGGGTCAATTCCTTGGAATCATTTCCCATTTTCAGGATGGGACTCAAAATCTTCACTTTTAATTTCAAGATTGAATAGAAGAGAAAAGTTCTTAGAAAAGGCGCAGGTTTATGGAAAGGCCGAGCATTTATTTAAAGATTAGACATTCGTTTTAGAAGCTAGATCTTCATCCAAACGCGTAACTTTTGGGAAGAAGCTGAAAGTTCAAAGATAGTAATATAGGTCAGAAGCGAGTATAACATTCACTGCTAACCCTAATTTGATTTGTCTATAGAACGTTCAAGGATAGTAGAACATCTTATTGGCAGAAGCCTAATACACAACTAATCAAAGGAACTTCAAGAGTAGATTCATGACATGTATAGAGTTACAAGTCACATCCCAAACGGGA